AAATAGCCCTCAAAGAAAACTTATTTTTTCAGAGTTATAACTATTCGTACCATCATCAACATTACATATAAAACCTCTGATGACTCATGTAGGTTCATTGGTGGTTGTGGATAGTAAATAAAAAAGCAACACTTGCAATGAAGACACTGCAACCCCTGGTTCCCATCACCACCACTGTAAAGAAATCTGAGTCAGTATGTTTTTCTACAATGAACCACTTTCCAGCAAACCACTCTGAATGACCTTGTTCATATCTCAACGACCGAAAAATGAACCAAGTAACTTTTGAAAAAAAAATCAGTAGAATTTGTCTTTAAGTATTGATGCTATTCACAATATACTCAGAAAAACATGGTGAGGTTAATCATCACCACATTTCAAAAATATCGTCATACTCCCCCCCCTAATTCCAGTGCTATATATGCCAGCCTAAGACAGACAGACATACAGAGGGCTTAAATATTATTTTAAGGTTTCTTATAACTTCTCAAATTAATGTCTGGCATATCACGACATTTTGTTAGGAACAAATGAACATGCAAGAAAAAATTTTCAATGTCTCTGACCATCTTCTATATGCTTCTACAAATGTTTTGAAGGGTCAAATCTAGAACGAAGTGTACTCAGTATACACTGACAACACCCATAACCCATATCCCCAGACGTCAGGGGAGGGGGGTCAAACTCAAGATTAGAGATCAGAACACCCTCCCTCTTTCCTCAACTCACTCCCACAGTTCCCATAGCTGGGGAAGTCCTAATAAGACATACATAATCTCTGTAACTAAGTGTCCATGTTAATGCACACACACTTTATGGCTAAAAATATGTGGACAACCCTCCTAATGATTGAGTTCAGGTGTTTTAGTCACATCCACTGCTAACAGGTGCATAAAATCAAGCACATAGTCATGCAATCTCCATAGATACAGAGTGGTAGTAGAATGGGCTGTACTGAAGAGCTCAGTGACAAATGTGGCACTGTCACTGGATGCCACCATTGCCACAAATTGCATCACTCTACAGAGCTCCGAACTTCCTCTGGACGTTAGCACAAGAACTGTGGTCCAGGAGATTTAAGAAATGGGTTTCCATGGCCGAGCAGATGTGCACAAGCCTAATGCCAAGCGTCGGCTGGAGTGGTGTAAAGCACATCGCCACTGGACTCTGATAGATGAATCTGGATTTGTCGGACACCAGGAGAACTCTACCTACTGGAATGCATAGTGCCAACAGTAAAGTTTGGTGGAGGAGGGATAATGGTCTGGGGCTGTTTTTCAGGGTCTGGGCCCCTTAGTTCCAATGAAGGGTAACAATGATGCCGATATCTGATATTTTTCGTGCAGATATCTGTTCATGCTGATGCTGAGACATTAATATTTATGAAATACTCAAATTGAGACTGTGTCCACCTGGATAAATGTAACATTGATGCCGATCAATGAAGGGTTACAAATACAGTAAACTAAATAAAAGGTAACATTTTAGCACAGTATCCCAGCATTATCCCAGTTCTTCCAGACTACAATACGGCATCATGCCAGCTGAATCTAATGATCCACTCAAGGCTGATAATTTCTTTAAAGAAATTATCTGCCGATACTGATGATTCTGATATCACTGTGCATCCCTATTGTTCACAGTTAAATTGAGCCAAGAAATGATAGCGGAACCCCGCACTGAACATAATTTAACTGAGGTTAAATGAAACTAGGTGAGATGACACTTCTTTAGGTTAACAGATTGAACCTGAAAAACTTTACTCAACCTGAAAAAAGGAACTAGGTCATCGTAATCAAGTCCCTACAGACAAATGGAAGGATCAATAACACAAGCATATTAAAATACAAGCATGTTTCACTGCTTTTGATTCTTTGAGAAGAACAACGTGCATCTGAAACAGAACTACAACCTCAGCTTAATTTTAACTGAATATCTTCTCTGATTCACTGCGGCTGCCAAATGACACTGTGGTGGTAAATAAATTACTAACAGACTTCGCAAACTGCTGTTTAAGCAACTTCATATCATCAGGATGACCACTGGTAAAGTGGTTGCCCTTTTTATTTTGCGAAAACTAAAACCATTAGTCCTCGGGCCTGGCCTTAGAGACACTTACTGTAGCTTTATTTCTCAACATGCTCTTGATTAGTACCTTCTTCTTGAGCAACAACATGAGCCCATCCATCATTTCCTCATAAACCTGTCTGTAACTTCCACAAAACTCGTTCCGACGACCGAACGAGCTATACAGCTTGCTTTTTATACTAAAACTAAGAAGTTATATATCCGTACGATAAGTGTTTTATCTTTGCTCTTACAATTAGGGTGACTTCACTTATAAAAACGTCAAAAAGTTAGTAGATGTGGCCTAGCTAGCCTGCTATATTAGCGCAGTGTGATGAAGGGCTGTGACTAAGCGCCTGATAAACCACAACTATCCAAAGGATTAACAGGCAAACCGTCACATTATTTCCTTCATACAAATAAAATTAGTTGCTTGTATGTGTTATTACTCATTCTCTGGTGCTTATATATCCTTCCACGTTTATCTTTACCCTCCGTTAACTCGGCTCACTTTAGCTAACGGGCTACTTGGCCCTCGGTCCGCTAGTTAGCAACTGCTAGCTGCGAAGCTAACGCTGCCACGCAACACAAATCACGGATAATGCATTTATATGACATTTTAGGCCTCATTTACAGTTTAAAAAATATGACACAGGTTAAAAAAGGTCTACACCGCTGGCTGTTATCCACCCGAAAGCCTCGACAGGCTGAAGGCCACCATTGTCTGACTGCTCGCAAACTCGGCTTAGCTTAGCCTGTATAGCAGGGCAAGTAAACTCGCACAAACAGTGAAGGGCCACTTCGCAAAACCGTAACAATTATGTTTAAGACACATTGGGGAAATAATATATACTGACCTTTAAATAAATAATCATATTCATCATCTCGGGTCCCCATATTATATGTATATTTTTTACTGCTGTGTTGAAATTGCAGCGAAGCGACGAGTCTCCTGACTCCAGCGGACAGGAAGGAAACTCAGTCCCAGCCTTAAAATACTGCCAGAGTGTGTGTGAAGGAGTGAGTGAGTGTGTGAGTGAGTGTGTGAGTGTGTGTGTGAGTGTGTGTGTGTGCGCGCGCGCTTGTCTTGCTATTCTTTTGTCCTCACAACGATTAGACATTTTTGCTTAAGTGAGGACATTTTGTTGGTGTTGTTTGCACCATAAACGATACATTTTTTCGGGAAAAAAAACAAATGAGCAGAAAAATGCCTTTTGAGATAAAGGTTAGGTTTAGGTTTAAGGGTAGGTGCTGTATTACTTGGCTACAGTAAGACAAAATTCAATGGAAATCAATGGCAGTCCCCACTAGTGATGTAAGACAAACGTGTGTGTGTCTGTATGTTTACTGCGACCACTCACCATGAAGCAATTGCCCACTTTGATAACTGATCATGTTAAGCATTAAAGGGCCCATATCCTACACTTTTATTTCATTTTCCCCCACTTACTTACTGATATTTGTGTAGGTATAAGTACCAAAAACTGTCATAATTATTTTTACATGACCACCTCTTAATCCCCTAGAACTGAACGGGCTGTTTTGGTTACTGTGCCTTCAAGACTGATTTATGTACATTTTTCATGCTATGTTTTTGCTGCTTAGTTTCCATATATGGACGGTGGAGTGAATAGTATGTTGTAAAACTACATCAAACTCATGTATTGTAAAAAAGCATGGACATTTTGGTTTTCCATAATGCTTAAAAGGCCCATATCCTACATTTTTCTTGCATTTTATTTTTCCCCTGAGTTCCACTAATGACATTTGTGAGGGCTCACATATCAAAACAGTCATACATTATTTTACATAAACATTTGCCCCTTCTTTTAGCCCCTTAGAATTGAACAGGCTGTATTTGTTACTGTGCCTTGAAGACCGATTCATGTAAATGACCTCATTTCAGGAGAATCGGGTGGGTGGTGTATAGTGTAGTGGGATGAGCACATGGGTTAATATGCAGAGCGCAGCTGATTTTATGTAGTTTATGTACACTGACCGGCCACTTCATTATATTCACATCCCTATATCTACACTCGCATCTATTTTATCAGCTCCACTTGCCATATACATCGATCAGGCATAACATTATGACCACCTCTTTGTTTCTACGCTCACTGTACATTTTATCAGCTCCACTTACTATATAGGAGCACTTTGTAGTTCTACAGTTACAGACTGTAGTCCATCTGTTTCTCTGCATACTTTGTTGGCCCCCTTTTACCCTGCTCTTCAGTGGTCAGGACCCCCACGGACCCTCACAGAGCAGGTACTATTTGGGTGGTGGATCATTCTCAGCACTGCAGTAACACTGACATGGTGGTGGCGTGTTAGTGTGTGTTGTGCTGGTGCAAGTGGATCAGACACAGCAGTGCTGCTGGAGTTTTTAAACACAGTGTCCACTCTATTAGACACTCCTACCTTGTCGGTCCACCTTGTAGTTGTAAAGTCAGAGACGATAGCTCATCTGCTGCTGCACGGTTTGTGTTGGTCATCCTCTAGTCCTTCGTCAGTGGTCACAGGACGCTGCCCACAGGACGCTGCTGGCTGGATATTTCTGGTTGGTGGACTATTCTCAGTCCAGCAGTGACACTGAGGTGTTTAAAAACTCAGACCAGCGCAACACACACTAACATACCATCGCCACATCAGTGTCACTGCATTACTGAGAATGACCCACCACTCAAATAATACCTGCTCAGTGGGGGTCCTGACCATTGAAGAACAAGGTAAAAGGGGGCTAACAAAGTAAACAGAGAAACAGATGGACTACAGTCTGTAATTGTAGAACTACAAAGTGCACCTATAGCGTAAGTAGAGCTGATAAAAGCACAGTGAGTGTAGAAAGAAAGAGATGTATTTAATGAAATGGCAGGTTGATGTGTGAACGCTTTTGTTGTCACATACAAACATGTACTAAAAACTCTCACAGATAAAGAGCTTCAATATTTTCTATTTATTATCTTTAGGAGACCACTCTCACATGTGTGCATAAACACATTCACACACACACACACACACACACACACACACACACACACACACACACACACATACACCCACATACCTACATACAATCCATCCATCTGTTAAGTTTCCTTTGTAAACAAATGGATATGCTGTCCATGAATGTATATAGATACATTGTTTTCAATTACAACATGCTTCGTCTCTACAGGGGTGGGCTCGGGAGTGGGGTGTAGGGGGTGTGACACATCTTCTTCTGACCACACATACACAAACACAGCTTAACTTTCATAAGATGATGCTATTCATACATTTGCATGTTCGGTAAAATTGCTCTGACAGAGTTCACATGTACGGTACAAAGAAAACGTAATGCAAAACCAGCTGCACACACTTGGAAGAATCTGGTTCAGTTCATTCAGTTTTACGTCTTGCAAGCAGCTTGTGGGGGGAGGGGGCAGTGAATCAAATAAAACCCACATATTCCCAATTCACATAAAATATAGTCAATATTTCTTCATATACGTATTTATATTTCTATGTACACACTCTCTGGGGTACAACCATTAGTGAGCTGCTAGCTATCCTGTAGGCCTGAGCGATATAAAAAAAAAAGGATTATCGATAATATTGCTTCCCGCCCTCGCAAACATACATGCACACGTAGCTGCAGCTTGAACCTATTTTGTATTCAGTTTTAGTTTGTGTTTTTTTTTAAATGAACTGATTTAATGGATTTTATTTAATGAAAAGCACATATTGAATTATGTAATACTAATTAACAAAGCATTTTCTGAAAATTATTGGCTCTCATTTTGAAAGTTGTTACTGCAAACGCACACATTTAAGGGCTCCTTCTGGTGTGGGTTCTTTTCCAGTTGTGTGCTAATGCAGCCCCTTGCTAGTGAAGCTCCAGAGTAGAAAACATGCAGAAGAGATTGAATTCCAAATCCACATCTACGTGCTTTTTTTTTTGTTGCTGTAGCGGGGGGGCCCAGTGGACTTCAGAGATATTGTTGCCTGTGAGAAACTGTGAAGTGCTATATTTTCATAATTTTACAAGTCATTTAAACCATTTGAGACAGTTAAGCTGAACGGAAAACGCTTAGGATTACTACCTCAGGTGGTATGTAGCACTCTGGGAAACCCCCAGCCGAGACAGTGGAAAATTTACTGCCTAAGGGGGAGTACAGATGACGCCTTTTTAAACTCTGTCAAGTGCTCTTCTTTTCACAGACATCTATAAAGCAATCTATAAAGCGACTGAAAAGCACTCCTCTAGCCTGCGCAGTGTGCTTTGTCAGTTTAAACAGCATGTTCACTCTGAAAAATCGCCAACTTTCGCACTGAGCACCATCACAGCTGACCAATCAACACCGAGGACCCCTCCTCTCCAGTCACCAGCCAAGGAAAAGCTTGTTTTGGGTGTTTTTGAACATGCAGAGCTGTACAACAAATGGAATGTGAAAAAACAGTTTTCAATCACTTTTTTAGAAGTCAGTTTCTAAATCCTAATCACTCGTCTTGGTCTTTCATGTCCTCTCACCTATCTTTCTGCTGTTTACATACTTGTCAATCAAACTCAACTAAAAAGCACATCCTGCTTCATTTTAAGCATAACTGTGAAGTTATTTTAGCTGTACAGCTAATGTTAGCTGGCAAATTCACTAAAATATGATGATTACTTGGCTAACGACGCTTTTTTGCTTCAGAGTTTGTTCTCTGTTTGGAAAACTTGTAACTGTGAAGTTGTTTTAGCTGTATAGCCAACGTTAGCTGGCTAATTTGCTAATATTAGCTGTTACTTTGCTAACAGTGTCTTTTTGTGCTTCAGAGTTCATCCTCTATTGTTTGATATACCAGGCTAAGCATTATTCTGAGATAATTTCCAGTGTTACCGTCTGTCTCCTTTTATAAACACAACCAATATAAAATATCGACAGGGATGTGGACCACAGCACAACCCACGTTACGAAATGTTCTTCCACACATTCTTGTGCAGTTACATATCTCCACCAGTGGGGTTGCCAATTCCCCAAATATGCCAAACTTTCAAAGTGCAGCTTTAAAAAGGCATCATCTGAAAGCCCACAGCTTATTAATGCTCCATAATAATTTATTTGTTTTAACAGTAAAAGGAGAAAAACTGTATGTACATATATTATTTAATGTCATTTTAAAATTAAAACAGTGCTCTCTAGTTTACTGTCACTTCTCTTTCCCATTACAGCAATTATCTCCTCTGAAGCATTGTCATCGGGTTGTCAATCATTGCTGATACCCTATTATATCGCCCAGGCCTACTATGGTGTCAGAATGGTGGAAGGGATTACGTGGAAAAATTGTAGATAAATAAGGCAACCAAAAAGCAACATCAGTACAACCCTTTACAAACACTGTGTATTGCTGCTGTAGATTCGTGTTCATACACAACAGCAACCAAGAGCAAATGGCCACTTCACGTTATGATAATGATCAGCTCTTTAATACTGATCAAATATCACAATTTAAATCATACATCCTCATACTCACTCTTTCACACAAACACACACAGATAAATTATTCTATACATACAAATAAATATACATTTGAACAATTTTTTTTTCAACTTTTGCTTTAAGCCACTCCTGCAGACCATATCTGAAACCTGTGGAAAACCTGCCTGATGGTCAAATGATTGTGATATGGTGAAATAAAGTGCTGTGATCGAACAGTCTTAAGAGAAAAGCATGTTTACAGCTCTAAACATATGGCCTTTAACCTCCGACAGGCTTGCTCCCTTAAATGGTGTGAAACTGATCCCAGATTGGGTACACTGTCAGAAAAAAAGGGTACTGTACAGGTACAAACAATTTAAATATATACCAAAGGTACAAGATGGTATATAAAGGGACACTCCACCTAAACTGAAAAAAATCAACCATTGCTACATCTTTTGTAAATATGTCCAGTAACATTATCCAGTGGTGCTGCAGCAGCCTCTAGAAAGAGATCTTACAGTTTAAAGACTAGTAAAACCTCCTTGTGACGTACATTGAAGGTGGGAGAAACTTAAAAAAATGTTTGTTTTTACTGCTAGCTGGCAACTGCATTACTCAGCCAGATAAAGTTACTGCTACTAAGCTAAATATCTTACTGCAGCTGCTTTCAATCATCAACTCTTATTGCAACCATCTTCAAATCATCTTTACAGTTTAGAGAACGGATTACTCAAACAACAGAAATGACTCAGATGAGGAGAATAACAAGCTAAAAGTTAAAGTTAGCAAGGTAGCTAACTGGATATCTACATATCATCTTGTGCTGCATAAAGACAGAACTGACGAGTCACACTAACTCTAGCTTTATTGTATTTATTAGTCCACAGATCAGTGGCTAGGCTGTTTGATGTATTTGTAAAATGCATGATGGGTATTGACGCTGAGGGATGCAATGCTGCGCTACAAGGTACTGCATAACACAACAAATAGCATATTAAACTGTAGTTTTAGGCCACAATGTCCCTTTAAGGCCTGACTTAAGAGTTTTAAAGGTATATTACATTCACTTTCCCAGAGGAAGAGTCCATATGTGTACTTTTCTGTGTTTTTTAGAACAGAAAAATAAAATAAAAGTTCTAGAGTCAAATGAAGTCAATGCAACTTACAAGCTGAAACAGAACATGGTGCAAATATGTTTCCTAATTAATGGTACTGAAGACCCTGGATGGTACCACCCCAGTGACAGTGTTTGTAACTCGGAAGGTACAGTTTATTACCTCTTTTTCTGAGAGTGTACAGCGTATTTATATACCACTGCGTTTTCAAACATCAGCTGTAAATATAACTGCTAAGCCACAGTAATGAAAATAGCTCAGGAAACTGTGGGCTCTTAGTGTATGTCTGTGAACAAACATTAAAATTTAGTGTTCCAGTCATGATCACTTATCAATTGGTATCATTCATGATGAAATATGATGAGGAATGCGAATGCAGATTAAAAAGGTCAATATGACAGCAATGCAATACATTCGTCAAATTGTTGACAAGTTAAAAATTAATTGCAATTAATGTTAAAGTTGCTGCTTGAAAGCCTCTGAAACTGTTCTTAGGGTTTTCAAACAAGTGTAGTGTGTTTTCAGTCAAGCATGTACCCATCTGTAGAGCAATATTCCTCAAAACTAACATCACACACGAAACCACCAACTGTACAGCTCTCTACGTATGAAAACGTTCACAGTATCGAATTCAGAGAAAAAACACACGTTAAAAAAGTAAAAAAAAGGAAATAAAAAACAGTGTTTATGATTTACAGATAAATAACTTTGAATGTTGCCGTTATTACTGGTGCTGTCAGTAGACGGAATGACAGAAGAATGACACATCGTGTACCTACAGCGCTAAGCTTCACACCGCAGCTCCACATCGCTTCTGCTTTTGGATCTGACTAATATAACAGCTGGTGACACCAGCTGCGCGAACGTTGGTAGGAAGTAAGGTCAGTCGAGTTGAGTTGGAAGCCATGGCGAGACCTGAGGGGTCTTCAGAGTCGTCCTCAAGCAGCTCCAGAGGGCTGATTACTGGAAGAAGGAAAAGAGGGCAGTTGCTGGTTAATGGAATACAACAGAACAACTTCTCTTGCATAACCCTTAGAAGTTACTGGTGATGGTGTGATTTTTTTCTCACTCATAGCTCATTAAAACAAGCAGTGGGATTTTCTTAGAAGCAAAAATCTTAACTTTCAGTCAATATCATGCCTCTATTTTATTATGATTTGAATTTGATAAAAAATGATTATCTAAAAGTCTTGTTTTGTGGAAAGAAAAAACATCCTTATCAAAGGGAATTCCACCAAATTTTCAAAGTTTCTGCCTTCGGTCACTGAGATGTAAACAAAGTAATTCAGAGTGGTTTGTTTGTGTAGTAAAATTTGTGAAGAAATTGACTCCGATTACTTTACAGTGGTGGTGATAGAAACCAGAGGTCACAATGTCTACACCTTAAATATGGCCATTTTGTTCACTATCCAAAAATCACCACCGAGTCTACGCATGTCTTGTGAGGTTTTACATGTAATATTGATGACGGTAGAACAGTGGTAAATCTGAAAAAATAGGTTTTCCTTGGGTGCTATTTTGCCTTCAAACACCCTGCATGTACCTCTCCACTATGAGTGTTTTAGACCAAAATCTTATCTCATTGTAAAACAATGTCTCGAGCATCAGGCAAATTCATAATGATTTAATGTAGTTGCTGCTTGTCAAGGAACTTCTATATATTTTAAGATGTCTGGTTCCTATCACCACCAAAGTAAAAAATCCTGACTGAATAAGTTTCTCGAGAATATAGCATTTCACATCATTGGCAGAATTCCCTTTTAACATTTTTGCTTTGTTCTTGTTTGACACTGAAAAGAATGGAAAACAGTCGGAAATGCAGACTTGAACTGTTGGTACAGAATGTAAATTGAATGTAAATGTAATTTACCGCATGACTATCAATGTTAAAGTATTTGTAAAGCATTTAAGTAATAATATTGAAATAATATAACAAAATGACAGGAATAACTCTTGACTTCTAAGGGTTAACATTGTGCAACAAGATTGGTCAATCAAGAGGACGATGCTCCTATTTACTACAGAGAAAAACAGAGACATCCAGTAACTGAAAAACCCAAACATGCACAGAATGAACACAAACACAGACACTCACACTCGTCTGAACCCTCTCTATGTAGGTGACTATATGTAGGTACACAAACTGCTCTAATACAACATCTTATAAATGAACTGGGACAATGAAGTGAAAGAAGGTATTTCCTCTTTTTCAAGCTGTTTTCAAGACAAATATGAGGGAAAACTAACATCATAATTTGTGGGAAGATTGCTGCTTTTGAAATGAAAGCTGTTTTGAATTTTAATATTTACATTAGGACAAATAAACAGCTTAGAAGAAAGATAAAGGTATGAATTTTTACTCCATTGTTCCAATCTCTGTCGTATGCAAAAATTTGGGCGTCCCTGGTAAAATAACATGTTTCACTGATTTTCCAAGTGAAAATAAGTGAACACATTCTGCACATTTTATTGCATAATTACTGTTTATTTGCTGAATTTAACATGTTGGAAAAATAAAACATAAAATGTGGCCTGTGCAAAAGTTTAGATGTTATTTTTTCCCAATATGTTAAAATCAACAACTAATACAAATTGTGTACTAAAATTTGTAGAAAAATGCCACATTCAAGTTTTTTTCCCTGTAGAGGACGTGTTGACTTAATTTTACTTAGAAAAATCAACAAAACATGTAATTTGACAGAGGCTATTCAAACTTTTGCATACGACTGTACTGGAAGCCATTCACCTTGTCAGCAGATTTATGGCAATTTTAAAGAAAGCAACAAAATATTGAAAGCGCGTAACTAATACAAATGACACAAAATCAACACAAAAAGAGTTTGTTAGCTGCATTTTTAACAGGTATCTGGGTAAATACAATGTTTGCCTGTGTATGTGCATGTAGGTATTTCTATATTATATTGTATTTTATTACAATACCTACAGTATATTAAGCTAAATATTTCCTCAGTGCTTAATCGTTCATATTCTATAGCACGTATCATCACATAAAGCAACATATAATCTGAATATTGATGTCAGACTGACTCACCAGTGTGTTTATGTTTCAGTTGCAACATGTATTAACATAATCGTAATGCTGGGATTTTGTCCAACCTATTTTTGTTCAACCTAAAAAAATGACTTTGTGTAGTAACAAGTAAATTAACTACTTTCACTCACCTCAAATAAATACTCTGAACCACTGGTTCAGTCAAAGTCTTTATTTGAATTGAATAAAACTAGTTTAATTATGTTACCTCATGAAGTCATTTCTTTAAGCTCATGAATCATTTTTACAGTTTACATCATTCCCTGTTCATCCCTACAGTTCTATGTTCTTGTCTTTGAATATTCTACTGAAAAAGACTTAATTAAATAAATGGAAAAAGGAAAAAAAGTTTTATGTTCACAAATATCCATACCAAACATCCATAGCACTTCTGTGGACAACTGACTTACTGTGTCGCTCTCCTCGTCCCCTTGGGGCAGAGTTTTAGAGTCTGTGACATAGTGCAGAGGAGAATACACCCAGCTCCTCTCCTCCGGCGGCTGCTGCAGAGCCGCCCGGACAGCAGAGGGAGCCAGAGGCAGCCAGCAAAGCAGAGAAAAACAGAGAGGACAGCGCAGGACGTGACAGTTAGAGACAGAGAAGTAGTGAAGATGACAGTTGGAAAAATAAGACTTCTGTTAAGACATCATGACAGAAATATTATGGGATGGAAGATAACCAGTAAAATTGTTGTTGCACTATGTGAAATAAATGTGTCGTTGGTTTTTCAGGCGGCACAATATGTGATTTGTTAATCACTATCACAATACTGTTCTGTGTGATTCTGATACTGTAGAAGGCCACAATATGAAATGAGTCTCTAACCAATCCCACTGGGCCTCATTCACCAATATCTTCCAAGGTTATTCGTAAATGTGTTCTTGATAGAGGTCCTAAGAAAAAGTCTACGTCAGATTCATGACGTGTTCTTAAACCACAGAATTATTCATGCGTTTGTGCTCTTGAGTGTGTGTAGATTCTGTTCTTACTTAAAAACAAATCCCAAATAAGAAAACACTGGTGACTGTCAGGGTCTTCATGAAAACTGCGTAAGTGGGTTTTAAGAAAAAATTTCCTTTTAAGAAAGTTTGGTGAATGAGGCCCAATGTGTTTTGGGCATCTTGACCAATCATCATTCCTGAGTAGAATTTCTGACCTTTTGAGAAATCAAGCCTAATATTGATCTAGCTAGTAATGAAAACATGAATACATGTATCAGAAAGGGTCGACATTAGCTCTTGTTCGGTACTCCTGGACACAACATGGCACATTTTGACCACTAAAACACGTTAAAAATCCTGAGTGGCCACTTGCCTTAAAGAGTTTTTGCACTATTCTTCTGATTTGCTTGGACATGGAACCAACTGCATCAAAGCAGATTAGCTAACAGCTATAACACCGCGATAGCTAATGTGATGATGTGGTGACCATGGTGGTCCCCTTTGACAAGCTGGTCCACCTGATGTCATCTCTATGAGAGAAGGTTTTAACTAGAAAGGAAAAGTTTGTGAACAAACTTTAAGTTGGCTTGACAAAGCCAACGCTGTGAAATCCACAAGGTTGCTAACATATTTGTATTGAAATAATCATGTTATATATTGTATGTATTAACATATATCTGTTAATACATATATTACATATATATATTTATAAATTATGTGTATTAACATATGTATTATATATGTGCTAGTATGTCTATGAGCGACAGTGTGGCAGTTAGATTTTTAATTTTCAATTAATTTTTAATTAACACTGCATCATTCTTTTCTTATGGGAAAATAAATAGTGTTTGAATGAACACTGTCCAAAAATTAGCCCCAAAAGCACAATCACACTCTTCCTCTTTCCTCTAAGGCTCTAAGATCTTTTTTCAAGGTTCTAGCTGGAAAACTGCAACCCGAGAAAACAGTACAGAAAAGCAGAGAACAATAAAACGAAGTACAGTAAGTTGGATTAACAAAGACGTTAAATCAGCTGCCTTTACACTGAAAGGTTATTGCTGCAGTAGCTAAATAGCACCTAATGACATATAGTTGTATGCAGAAGTTCGGACACACCTGGCCAAAAGACAATTTGCTGAATATGTTGATTTTGAGGTGAAGAGAAATAAACAACCTCAGTAACTCTTTAAATAAATAAAAGTAGCATTTTCCTGTTTCTAGTTCTGTGATATTTCTGGGCTGTCATGAACGCAAAGCATGTTTGATATCTACCCACAGATTGCCAATGATGTTCAAGTCGGGTGACTGTGAGGGACATTCCAAAAGCTCCGGACTGCGTTTCTTTAGCGTTGCCCAAATTTTTGCATACAACTATAGCCTAGATCAGATGATAGCCTAGATCAGACCAGCCCCGTTGGAGGACCAGCATGGACACCACAAAAGTAATGTTCTTATCAAAGAAATTTTAAATTCATATTTCCTTTTCAAAGCAACACGTTTTTGGTGCTGAAGCGTGCTTGTTAATTGTAAATATGATCGGCCGAGAGGCCAGGGTAGTTGTTTATAGCTGTCCGTGGCCAGCAGGTTAAGAAAGAAAGCAGAGCAGTTTCAAGAATGTTTTCAGTAACAATATATAAAATGAAAAATGAGCTACTCCCACCAGCCAAAGAAGGAAGAGGAAAAGAACTGCTGAGTTCACATTCTGCTTTTCCTGCTTATGTTTTCCTAACGCTAAACCTGGCAGCAGCGGTGTGCATGATTTCTCTTAAACAACAACAACTACAACATTAATGAGGGATTCACTACAGGATAGTCTGCTAACAGCACTTACACTGTGGCCTGAATTTAGCGTCCCGGTGCGTCTAACAGGCTGACAGACACAATAGCTGCCATCTGAGAACTTACAGCAGCCAGACAGACAAGCAGAGAGTGTGTGGATGAGAAAAGAGAAAGAGAGAGAGAGAGAGAGAGAGAGAGAGAGAGAGAGAGAGAGAGAGAGAGAGAGAGAGATGGCATGAACAAATGAAATGAGAAATGACAAGAAAATAAATGGTCAAAATGGTCAAAAGATGGAGTTACAGCACATGCAAAAATGCACAATGTAAATGTTAAAACAGATATCCAGCAATCAGATGCATGAAGACACATGAACAGAGTAAGAAAAAAAACAAAGAGGAAATCTGAGTGAGGGAATGAATGAGATAATGAACAACATGTGACACAGGGTAGCTGGTATGAATGGATGGATATATGAAATATGCAGGCAGCCGGATTGGCCTGTTTCTCAGGGTTTCATTCAGAGTTTTGGAGATTTGTGCTTATGACCATCCAGGACAGCATGACGGCTCTCTACAAGTGACAGAGTCTCTCAATGAGTTATAGTAATGTCCTACTCCACTGTCTTTATAGAGAATGTGCTGATCCGATACCCAGTATCCATATAAAGACAGAATCCAGCAAAAAATCAACTGATTTTATTATATTTGGTATGTAAAGTATTATACTACAATTACAATTTCTTTATTTCAAATGGTCTAATTTTGCACATATTTGCACTGTAAGAAACGGCCCTTCTGTTAAGTACCAGTTCTTAATTTTTCAGTGTCAAGAAACACAGCAGAAAACAAAACATAGAAGCCTCAATAACTAAATACCACTTTTTTAGTAATTAGCATTTTCACCCTTTACCTTTCTTTTCAGGAGACGTTGACAGGAGGCTTTCAGATTTAAAAAAAAATTTGCAAAGTTATTTTTCCACACCTTCGAGGTTCAGTTGTAGACACTGGCTGCATTTTCACAATCCAAATAATCTCGATTACACATTTAGACTCATCATTCCTCAGATTCAAACCTTCCTCTACATCTCAGACTTCCAGTTTTTGGATTTTAAGATATTTGTTTTCTTAGTAAGGACTTCAACACTGGTAGATTTGATATTATATTATAGTGTTGGAGGCTTTGGTGTAATTTTCTGTTAAATATACGTTTCCTGTTTTTTCCTGACATTGAAAAATTGATAACTTGTACATAATGGCTGTTTTAATGGGAAAAAACAATGAAAATGGTGGTCTCTGACATTTGCACAGCACTGTAGACTTAACCCTTGTGTGGTGTTGGGGTCTGCGGGACCCATTTTCAATGTTTACCTAAAGGAAAAATGATGCGATTTATTATTATCTTAACACAGATTTCTTGGTCTTTGCTCATTTTCTGTGAAGAACATATAAAATACCACTTTTTCAGTGTCTTCACTCTGTTCACCCCCTACACATTTATATTACACATGTAGTGTTGGGTGAACCCGCGGGGAATAAAAGTGTGGAGGTGCTGTGTACCTTCACTCTGTTCTCCTCCTACATGGCCTGCTGTTACTGTGTGTGTGTCTGTGTGTCTATCTGTTTGTATATATGTGTGTGTGTGTGTGTGTGTGTGTGTGTGTTTGTGAGGGGGGACAATATGGACAGGCTGCTGACTGGCTACAGCTGCTTAAGGAGAACCCTACGCTGGACATTTGTGATACTTTAAACATCTGGTATTTTACATAAATTGTTATGGCTGTATTGATTATATATATGATATAACGCGGTGGGTCCACCAGACCACACAAGGGTTAACTTGTTAGCTACATTAGCCTTGTGCTCCAGTGCAAAATTACAGAAGCAAACTTCAGACTCCAAACATGTCTTGACTGTTCAAATGAACTGTTCATTTTAAACCTTTTTAAATGAGAAGAATATTGATGTTGGCGTCAGCCAATACTCAAAGTTTCCAGAAAAGAGTGGAATATCTAATCTCAACTCATTTGCCCGTAGAGAGTTTCTTTCAGTGCTGAAGGAGCTGCTAGAGTCCCGCAGGCAGCAGGGGGCTGGTGTGCTCTGTGAGTGAGCTGAAGACTGACAGTTGCATCGCTTAGCAACAGGGATGACAAAAGAGCTTTCTGTAACTACCTTCGTCATTACCGCTTAAACATAGTCATTACTCAGTGAGAGGCCTTAACACACTCATACACACACATATACACAAACCTACACACACGCAGGGAAAAATGAGCAGCTCCTGAAATAAAATGAGGCATTCTGAAACCAGGCTCTAAAATTAGACACATGATCCACACACATGCAAAGGTTACAGCACACAATGGAGAAGCTGATGAAGCTACGCTAAAGGTAGAAAACAGGAAACAACAGCGCACACGGACCCTCTTTAGTTCAGAATAAGGGGTAGATAGCGTTGCAGATCACTTCAGAAGCAATTACTCTGAACAGAGAATGAAAGGAATGAAAAGCCCTAACATTCGATCCACTAAAACAACCGTTTGAATGAATCGAACAGATAAAGTGAGTTGTAAAGTGCACTATTAACTTGCAGGTCTGTGAGCCAGTGAGGGACCTATTACAGGAGGCTAGAGCTACATGATCAGTAATGATTTTAGCTCATATAATTAATGTGCTTAATGTGCAGCTTGCAGCTCAACTCTTTTGAGTTAGGGGAGATGCCACTGAACATGAATACATATCTGTTAGGGGTGTACGATATATCAATGGCCAATATATTGTTCACCATAAAATGGGAAAATATAATCATGATATAAAAATTACAGCTACTAATTATAGTCAATAATTCGTACTGACACAAGCATAGACTTTAAGGAATGTGTGATTCTCTCAAACGTGACAAATACTGGCACCCAACCCAAAAATAAAATGATTATAATTGAATGTTTTCTTTGTTTGGATATACCAACAAATAACTAATAAATCTGAATGATTTGATTGATTTAAAATGTATTTTTAGTAACATTTTTGAAGATATGTGACCAAATACTCATCACTACAACAAAATGAGGTTTAAAGATAAATCTGTAAATAATGTTTTTCTCATTTCTTTTTACAATCTGTATGCTGTTGACAGGTATGTTAAAGCAATTTATTTATTTATATATATATATATATATATATATATATATATATATATATATATATATGACAATCATTAAGGTTTTTCTTTTTGCTTGTGCCACATGACATTTCGTTGTTTTGGTTCATTTTATTACAGTTTAAAAGTAAAACATTCAAGCAAAGAGATTAAACAGTTCAAAGTAACACAGCTGCATTTTTTTCTACTAAAAAAAATCGGTTGTGCTTCGGACACCTGCCCGAGCGGATGAATCTGATGAGTGGGTTAAAGAGACCTCAGTCAAAATTTGTTGAAGGGTGCATCTTCTGAGGATGTGAATTATCTACTTCTGTCATCATATCTTCATCAGCATAATGTCGATTCTGCAATTAAGACCTAAACATCGAGCCAGATTTTCTTTTTGAGCCTGTGCATGTGATGTTAATCCTTAAAGAACATGGTCCAACTAACCCTCGTAAAATCAACCCAATGCCTCTGACTTTTATTACAGGCTTTACAGGGTGACTCATGGCAGCACACGGACACCTTTTTCCAGACTTAGAAATGCTACTTCTTTCAATTTTAACAAATACATCTTAAATGGTGCAGCTTTAAACCCAAAACAAGACCACAAATGTTAATAGTAGGTGGCTTTTAGTTTTAGTTTAAACCTAGAGAGGCATCCAGTCTAAACTCTTAGACAAATGCTAATGGTCTGTCACCTCAGCTAATGTTGCTAATCTAGTCTTTTTTATCTCATATCTTTTAGCTTAAAATCAGCTCTTTGAGAAGAGTTCGCTGATACCAAAGTGATGCTGAAAGCTGTATGTCTTTAAATCTAAATGAATGAAGCATTCTATGTGTTACAGCTGTGCTTTGTACTGCCTGCTACATGACACAATGATGCACATGGTGTCCAGTTTGTGGCAGCCTAAATAGTCCTTTAGCAAGACTCTTAAAGCTTCCACGTGAAGGTAAGAATATCTGCTAAATATGTAAATGTTCATAATTGTCAAGTCTGATTTAGCAATGTAAATTTAATCAGTAATTCACTGTTAGAATTTTACTTCACACGTGGATCATAGTGTCAACCACAAGGAAGTAAATGACAGATTACTACTAGAGTCAGCAATAAAAATGGTGCTATTGGTTATCATTATCAGCCCAGAAATTCTATATCAGTGCCTCCCTAACTGTCTCTCCTCTGGTTTCAGCACACTGCAAGAGAAATAGCACATAAACCAGGAGACTTGTTAATAAAAAAAGACACCCCACTCTCACACTGGGTTTCTCACCAGGCTAATAACACCTTGTCCTCACACCAGCGATTCTGCAGACTGCAAAGATTCACAACATCATCACCAGTGACATCACAGATGCAGTAAATGTGGCTATGTTGCCTCAGTTTACCTCAGGCTGACAAGAACAACTGTCTTGTACCCGAGTTCTCAGGTTCAGCCCTCAGGCATCCGCACATTTTGTGCACATTTCATTTTTACTTCGGCACCCAATGTACCTGACCCCAGTCATAAAGTTTCTGACAACTCTGAAAAGTGGCTCAGGTGTGTTGGGAGAACTGTTCTGGGAAGCTCTAAAGACTAGACTGAGACTTTCTGCTGTAATAAATGAATATGAATGTATATATGACCACTGTGACCACACATGCTTATTAAGGGTGGGCGATATGACAAAAATCTTACATCAAGATAGTTTAAGTCTTTGTCACGATCCATGCTTGTCTTGTATAAAATATTATATTTTATAACATCTAAAGCTACCTGTAATTATTTAGCTTATAGTTACTACACACTGTTGTTGGTGTTTAGAAGCTCTCTATAATTAGCCTAAATCTGTTTTATAATATATGCAGTTGTTAAGTGATATGGGTTTTTAATTTCTTTATTTGTTTAATTCAACTATAATTCTCTCATATTTTTAGTGTGAACTTCAGCCAAGACTTTTTTATGACCTTTTTACCATCTTCACCAGGGGTGCCAATAATCATGAAGCCAGCTGTACTCAGAAAAACACATTGTGATGTAATATAGCAATAACATATGATCATATTGTCCGTCCTTACCGCTTATTTAAAGCAGTGTGGCAGCGCTTGGGGAAAGGAGCAGCAAGGCTGTGGGATTAAGTGCAAAGACAACTTACAAAGTAAATGTCAGTGATTGGCACATCATCGTCCTCGTCCACAGAGGAGCGGCTGGGGCAGCCTGAGGCTTGGCTGGTGCGGTCTGAGTCCACCACTATCCTCGGGCTGGCGGGAACTGAGGAACAGGAAGCTTCAGCAGGGGCTTCTGAGGCTTCACTGTGATTGTAGTAAGAGAGATAAAGAGAGAGAGGAGAGTGGTCATGGACATCATAGATGGACAGAATGAAACTACAGCTAAGAGGTTAAGAATGTGTATGTAATGGTTTTTGTGACATCCCAAAACAGTGAATTCAAAACAGGCTGTTTTTGCAGGTTAGTTTCCATATCTGTACTGTATGGACAGGAAAATGAAATACGCATTTTGAAATTTTAACAGTGTTTACATACTAAATCAAACAATTTTATTTCAATGAAGTGAGAAGAATTCAGGTTTTCATTGACATGGATTGATAACTAAATAACAAGCTGCAGTTTAAAGGGCTAAACCTTGCATGGTCACTTGACATGGTCACTTACTTAGTACTTAGTTAAAGAACACAATGATTCAAACTGTTTTAAATGTACTTAGAAGAGAAGCCAATAGGCAGTTGCTTCAGCACCAACCAAAGACTTCCATTGCTTTAGCACATGCCCACTGACTTCCACTGCTTTAGCACCTGCCCATTAACTTCAATCGCTTCAGCACTTCTCACTGACTTCCATTGCTTCAGCACATGCCCAGTGACCTCCATTGCTTCAGTACCTCCCTATTAACGTCCACTGTTTCAGCACATGCCCACTGATCTCCATCGATTCAAGCTTCTCCCTATTAACCTCCATTGCTTCAGCACCTTCCCATTAACTTCAGTTGCTTTAGCACATGCCCATTGACTTCCACTGCTTCAGCACATGCCCTGTGAGCCCCACTGCATCAGCAAATTCTCATTGACTTCCATTGCTTTGGTACACGCCCATTGACTTCCACTGCTTTAGCACACACCCATTATCTTTGATTGCTTCAGCACATGCCCACTGACATCCAGTGCTTCAGCACATGCCCACTGACTTATATTCCAGGACTGAGTTTATTGTAATGTGTCATATTGTACACATTTGTCTGATTGTCCGTGGTAATTAACTGTATACAATAGACGCAGCAGACAGAGATTAGGTTGAAAAAAGTGGGAGTATTCTTTTAAACTACCTGGAAGAAGCACTGCATACAATGAAGCATATCCAGGCAATCCTATCAACTTATCCTTCAGTCAGATTAAAGCATGACCACGTTCAAAGACACAAAAGAGCTGTGATTGGCTAAATCTGTCCGAGACCCTCCAATCTGGAGGTTGTCATGGAGAGTGTTTCCCACTGCAGGATGGAGCTGTGGCAGGTGAGAGGGTCTGAAAGGGGCAGATGAGGCAGATGGCTAATTCCCCCCTCTCACAGCTCCCTCTTCCTCCTGACCCATCTGTCTGTCATAGTGACCCACTTCTCCAGACTCACCCTGAATAACACATTTACAGCCATTTTCACAAAGCCCCACACTTTTAACCTAATTACTTAATAACACGAGACTGGGACAGATTTTGGCCGTCTACTGATCACTGCAATAACCATATTAGAGCATGTTACCCAACAAGGAGGGACAGACATTAATTTTACTAGGGCAGACTGGCTAGTCAAACCAGGATGGCCAAATGCAACAGAACATTATGACACATTAGTGTCAACAATGGTGAGACCTTGGTAAATTATATCCATATAGACCCATAGATTCTGCAGTTATATTAATTTTTACAATAAATCTGAACTGTGCAACTATACTGACGTGTTTTCTAATTAATTACACTCATACCAGTTTTACAATGACACTTTGCTCAAAATGAAAAATGTAACAATTACTATGCCTACTTGCATCTTACAGTTGTGCCACAGTAGGTTCTGGAGTGAGATTTTCCAGTTTAACCCTTTAAAATCCCAGGTTTATTACATACTAAGGCTTATTATTATTCAGTAACTACAGGGACTTCAATGCAAACTGGCTGAGCTGTTCTTAGGTTATAGAAGTGTGTAATAAAACTTTGGCCCCAGCATTTCAGACGATAAAGGCTAGAAAACCCCCTTCTGATGATGTATTTTGAAGGTTGGAGGAAGGTTATTGCCTTGGAATGGATTTTTGAGGGTGAGTCCGACCCCCCCCGCCCATTGACTGTAAAGGAAACCAGATAGTCGGCACTACTTCTAGGAAGCTGAATATCACATCTGTTATCTATTAGCCTTAACATTATTAGTACATCCGTAAATTTCTTTTCTTCTTTTGTTGTAATGGGGATTTGCAAAGGTTGTATGATGTATTTGCATAATGCATGCTGGGTATTGTAGTAGAACACTGATGGACAAAAACACAAAAAGTAAACAAAATGGTGACGTGATGCTGCACTGCAGAATATGACATTACACGTCAAATAACACATCAACCGATAGTTCTAAGCCGTAATGCCTTTAAGTAAAAATGCGAGTGCTTAGTTTTCTCTAAATAAACAAATCAAGCCAGTGGTTATAAGACCGGGTAAACCATATAAGGTGATTAAAGGGTGGGGCTATCTGCTCTTATTATAAATATCTCTCAATATTTTGTCATATTTTCTTGTTAAAATGAAAAAGAATTAAACAAAACATTATAAAACCCTAGAAAACACTGCACTAGTTCTGGCTTGCTCTGATGCTAACTGGTACAGTGTTTTGGACTGTGTGATGGATACCTGGCCTCTGGGGAGGGCTGCGGTGCGGTCAGCATGGGTTCGCTATCACGCCTCTTCACCTCCACCTCAACCGTAATAATCTGCTGATCATCCTCCTGAGTCCTGCAATCAGACCACCAGAGGGTGCCAGCACTCAGCAAACTGGCATCAATAACTTTCCTCACTCTTAATGGCAAACATGTAATGAATGGACACAGAAAGTGAGCTGGGATCAAAAAGCTAATGAATCAAGCCTGTGCCGTCTGTGCTGTTCCGTTTTCTGTTCTTTCTTTCATGAGAGGAGAACAGGCGGCCTGGCAGAATTTAGTTGAGAAATGAAAGTGAATCAGAGCAGGAGAGCGCTGCTGACTTACGTTCCGTCCTGGCTAGTCTGGGTGTGCCTCCTGGGGGAGAGAACAGACACAGTATTGTAGCGAGCTGAGCTGTGGCACTGCAAGCTCAAAAACGATGTGTTGATTAACCCCTGAACCTCCACATTTCAACTGCTCACTCTAACATCTGCATGCCTTACATACTCGCTTTATAATAGTTACTGAATAATGAATAGTAGTTACTTTACATTTTCAACCTTAAGATTAACAACGGAATAATAAACCCAGAGATTAAGGGGTTAACCACACACTTTGAGTTACCACCTTTTAACGCATTTTGTGTCAAGACAACATAGTGCACCTTTTATTTATTTATTTTCCAGTCAAAATGGCCATTAAGTACAATTTACTGATCTTTCTGAGAAGATTAAATATAAAATAATCCACTCACATAAGAAAGGGGAAAGTCAAGGGGAAATAAGCAAAAAAGTGAAAGTGAAAAAACTGCTAACAACCATGCAAGACCTGGTAGACCACTAAGGCCCAATCCCATTTCACCCCTTGCCCCTACAACTTAGCCCTTAGCCCTTTGTTTTGCGCGATATCGAAATACGATAACCATTGTATTATCTTAGTTTAATGTCATTTCAATGTATTATGGTCGTTTTCTTCATAACAAGCATAAAAAAATCGCTAACAGCATGCTAGTGTCTCAGTAGCTAGCTAGCTTAATTTCCCATTCCACCTTAAATAATCCAGCAGTGTTGACGCCTGAAGCGCCAGAATGTAACTGCTGCTCCATTTAAGCTGGAATGGGAAAATTCGAACAACAAGCTGGTGAATAGCCGACTTCAGCTTCGTATCACCAAATAATTAAGAGTGGGTGATAATAAATGATTGTCTTATCCCCCTCTTTGAAAGCATTTAATGCGCTAAATGTAACTGAAGCCCAGCAGTGAGGTTGCTGAAGTTTTCCCTTCTCTGCTCTCACTGAAGATGATCCAGGTCGCCTACAGAGCACTGCAAGTAGGCTATTAATGAAGCAATGTTTTTTTTATTTATTTATTTAAGGGTTGTCCCATTTCATAGGTCAAGATTTCAACCACTACCCCTTGTAACTCAGTTCCAAGGGGTTAGGGTGACACTCGAAAACAAGGGGTAGGGGTAAAAAGAAGAAATGGGATTTGGCCTAAAACTGTCCCCATCAGATAAACAGAGCTTAAAGCTTTTATCTTTGAGATAGAGGAGAAAATCAAGCTGCTTCAGATCTGAAAACATCCACAGGTGTTTCTGTCCATCCTTCCACTGTGAGAAGACAACTCAGTGCTATAAGTCTGAAAGGATGTGTAGCTGTCAAGAAGAACCTCACTGAGAAATGGAAACGAACAAACAATAAGAAAACTCACAAAGCAAATAAAGGAGTTGTGTTCTCATAACAATGGACTGACCATCCCAGAGTCCAGACCTCAACATCACTGAATGTGTTTGTGATTACTTGGAACATGAGAAGCAGAAAATGCAACCAACTAAAGACTAAAGACTAAACTCTGCAGATTTCTTTGAAACAAGGAAAGCAAGTATACCAAAAAGAACAGAAGCTGTAATAAAGGCAAAGAACGGACATAGAATGGAAATACTGATACTGAAAAATATTTAGTTAAAAAGTATTTAGTAATACTAATTTAAATTGTTAATGGCCGTTTTGACTGACAATTAAATAAACAAAGCTTGTAGAAGGACTTGCGGCACATTTTGGACAGTTTGGAAGTTGCACGGTAATCTTCCTCCACACACAAAATCTGATCCCAAGTGGTCACTGGAGATGCACTGGAGATACAAGATGTCTCTCTGCCCACTTGTGATCAGATCACTTTCGACAGACATAAATACCAGATGTTCACAAGGCCTATGCATTGATTTGAACACATCTGTTTTGAGAGTGAGTGATTGTAGCAGATAGCTGTTTTTTGTTGTTTTCTTTTTTACCTGTAGCGGGGGTGCTCGGAGGTGTCGGATGGAGAGCGCTCAGGGATGGAGAGGGAGGTGGTGGAGGAGAGTGTTGTGGCGATAGAAGCTGTGGTGGCCTCCTCAAATGACGGTGGCGTGCAGGGGAGCACGTCTGATCGCCCTGAGAGAGAGAGACAGAGAGAGAGACAGAGAGAGAGACAGAGAGAGAGAGAGAGAGAGAGAGAGAGAGAGCGAGCGAGCATATTTATTTTACCTCAGAAGAGCAGAATGTTTAGGTGACGATGGGTTACTGTCCCAAAACATATACATTTCACATATATATAAAATACAAATTTTACAAATGTTTATGTATCAGCAAACACTGAATATCTGCATTAGACAACAGTTCCAATATTGGAAATGCATACTGTCAACTTACCTTTTTATCTGTGTAATAAACTAATCACACAAATTAATATCTTATACTATATTAATACCTTATACTATATAATATTAATATATTATACACAGATTGGACATAACATTATAACCATCTCCTTGTTTCTACGCTCATTGTACATTTTATCAGCTCCACTTACTATATAGGTGCACTTTGTAGATCTACAGTTACAGACTGTAGTCCATCTGTTTCTCTGCATACTTTGTTGGCCCCCTTTTATGCTGTTCTTCAGTGGTCAGGACCCCCATGGACCCTCACAGAGCAGGTACTATTTGGGTGGTGGTGTGTTAGTGTGTGTTGCGCTGGTCTGAGTGGATCAGACACAGCAGTGCTGCTGGAGTTTTTAAACACCGCAGTGTCGCTGCTGGACTCAGAATAGTCCACCAACCAAAAATATCCAGCCAACAGCGTCCTGTGGGCAGCGTCCTGTGACCACAGATGAAGGACTAGAGGATGACCACACAAACTATGCAGCAGCAGATGAGCTATCATCTTTGACTTTACATCTACAAGGTGGACTGACAAGGTAGGAGTGTCTAATAAAGTGGACAGTGAGTGGACACAGTGTTTAAAAACTCCGGCAGCACTGCTGTGTCTGATCCATTCATACCAGCACAACACACACTAACACACCACCACCACGTCAGTGTTACTGCAGTGCTGAGAATGATCCTCCACCCAAATAGAACCTGCTCTGTGAGGGTCCATGGGGGTCCTGACCACTGAAGAACAGGGTAAAAGGGGGCCAACAAAGTATGCAGAGAAACAGATGGACTACAGTCTGTAACTGTAGAACTACAAAGTGCTCCTATATAGTAAGTGGAGCTGATAAAATGGAGAATGAATGTTGAAACATAATGTTATGCCTGATCGGTGTATAAGAAGGTATGGTGGCCTTCTTTTAATCTGAGGATGGCATTTCAATTACATTTGGATTAATTATGATCCATTATAACAATATTCAACAAAGTATTATACAAGTCCCAGACCTGAAACATAAAAAAGAAAAAAAGAAAGAATTGGTGTATTGCTTTTAATTGTATGTCCCACTGCTGTGGAAATAGTCTTCAATTGTGTACTAAAAGTATAGTTCAAATTTATGATTTGTTATGAGTCGGAATAATCAAATTCAATCAAATCAGGGTAAAAAATGAGATCTCATGATACTGTCAACTGTTTCCTAAAGAAACATAATCAAATCAAATCAAATCATTGTGAGGTCAGATTCTCACCTCTGCTCATACCCAACACAATCAATTAGTTTTATAGTAGTTATTAAGTAATTCATACTAGTTACTCATAGCACTGGATGGCACTAATCTAATGATATTTGAATTTGTATTACTAAAGTTACTGAACTGATGCTTCCTGCGTGCTTCTACTCTATACTACAGAAAGTCTTAGAAACCTGAAGTAGCTTTTTTTGATTGGACTGTCTTGTTCTGCTTCTCTTAAAATTACACCAAAACATTAACCAGACAGAACCCACATTTCCAAAAGGGAAACTTACTATTTTGTTAATTTTTATAATTTTTGGACTGTTTTTTTCAAAGCAGTCTGAACACCCGTTTAATTACAATCTTTATAGTTAAATATCAGGTCCAGAAAATCATCAGTAAAGCGCACAAAACAGAATGAAGAAGAAAAATAAAACTAAAAATAAACATCTTGGCAACAGAAACACAGTTATTTCATGGGCATTGTGTCATTGAAGCAGTGGTCATTATCCAGTAAATATATCACTAAAACTGAGTAGCAGCATCATGGTATGTCAACTTCACGGTATACGCAGTATAGATGAGATATAGTAGTGGGTGGTTCATTCAGTACACCAGCCGAAATTCTTCCTCAGGTATGAGTTTTGACATAAACGATTTGCCAGCGTGCCACAAATAAGCACACTGCCGACTTCTCTGGGCCTAAATTGATCTAAAATGGTCTGATGCACAGTGGAAAGAAGTATTGGTAGGCTGATAAGGCCACCTTACAGATGCCAGGGTCTGCCATGGTATAGTGGCATATTAGTGGGTAACCTGCACATCTGTGAAAGCACTATTAATGTTAAACACATTTGGAGCAAACTGTGCTACCATCCAGATAAGATTTTGCTCAGGGATACCCGTGTTTATTTCAACATGACAACGCCAAGCGACATTCTGCATATGTTACAACAGCATTGCTGTGTAATTAGACAGTGTGGGTGCTAGACTGGCCTCACTCTATGAAAATGTGTGTTGCATCATGAAGCTCAAAATACAACAATGAAGGACCCGTACGACTGCATAGCTGAAGATTTGTATAACTGAAGAATGGCAAATTCTGCTTTCAAAACTAAATCAGTTTGTGTCTTCAGTCCCCAAATAATTATTAAGTGCTATTAAAAGGAAAGGTGATATAACAAATGGTGGTAAACATGCTACCATTGCTACCATCCCTTTTTTGGCACGTGTTGCAGGCATCAAATTTGGAATGAATGTGTATTTACTTAAAACAATGAAGTTCTTGAGGTAAAACAAAACATTGTGTTTTTGTGCCATTTTCATTTTAATACAAGCCAAGCAAATTTTACTTGTCACAGCTTTTTGTTTTTAATTTTTTTGTTTGTTTCACACTCTGTCCCAACTCTTTTGGAATTGGGTCTGTGCTTCGGTTATTAAAAACAGTTCTATTAAAAAGTAAGGGGACATCCCAGAGTAACAAGTGACTGTTGACCTACAAAAATAGGTTTACTTAAACATTTAAATTGTTTTTACTTAAAAAATATAGATTTAAAGTGATAAATACTGACACTTTCAGAAATTTTAAATATACCATGATATAAATATTTGGCCATACTGCCCACTACTACCCACAAAAGTTAACAAGATCATTACAAAAGTATTAAAAGCTCCTATAAAACGTCAAACAGTTGCAAAATCAGCTGGAGTACAAAGACAGAAGTCTGCTCAGACCTATGAGCTCTCTGCTAAAGCGAAATGGTATCAATTTAAAATAGGTCTACATATCATTTAGAACCACTCCCTTAACAAAACACAAACTGTTCATTCAGACGAGGGAGGAAAGCCTGTAATACTGAGTCTGAAACTCTCTTGGACTCTGTGTTTTAACAGTGTCCTGATGTAATGTGTGCTTTTGGACTTGGCTGTTACCTTCGTCCTCCAGCGTGGGGAAGCTGCGTGCTCCCCGCAGATCATAGATGTTCTCATCTCTCTCAGAGGGCAGCTGGCTGGCTGACCAGGCCGCTCCAGGCCCTGAGTGTTTGGGCACTGCAAGACTTCCACGACCCCTCTTAGAAGGAGAAGACTTCAAGGCTGGGGAGAGAAACAGGAAAAGATTCATGGCTTTAGTAAGTGGTAAAGATGGGGTTAGTCCTATTATACTGTGAAAACAGATCATAGTCATTTTACATTAGGAACTGGCTATGGACAATTGCATTACAAGATTTTATACATTTTCACAAGGTCATTCATTTTTTTGTTTCATTAAAAAAAATAAAAGAAATTGACAAGTTTAAGCCAAATTTATTTGGCTATGCAAGTGAAAAACATTCGTGAATTTTACCCCCAAATCCTCAATAAATTAGTGACTAAATAATTAATGTATAAATGAATTCTATAGCAGGATCACTCAGTAAGTGGACTTACAGGTGCTCTTCCTGAACACTGTGCTGCTCATAAATCTGAAGAATCTGTCTGCATAGAAAGAGGGCCGGTGAACAGACACAGTGTCCTGAATAAGAGAGAGGAAAAAGAGTTAGAAGACTGAATTTAAGGTTTTTCCCCATCCCATGAGATCTGCTCTCGGTAGAGAGTAAAATGGACCAGTTTCTCCAATTGTTACTACTGGACGTTAACAATGTTGTATGCTGTCTGTGCACAATATAATTGTCATTACAATTATTTAGTAATATTAGAAGCCAGTTGTGTGTTTTCTTGATTCTTGAAATGAAAAGAAGTAAATCTCTACAGCAAACTTCATATTTTTTCCGGCAAATGTTAATGCACATTTACTTTATATTTGACTAACTTTAATTAGAATTAATTAAACTAAAATTAATTAACTTGTTAGATCTTAATTGACATATTAGGACTGGTGAGGCAGGTCAAAAATTGCCATTAGGAATTGGAACTGACAATTGCAGAGCTTGTCAAAACTTGGGTTAGCAATCAACAACCAGAAAAAAGGAGCAGCATTTGATGAAAAGAACACCTTGCCATCTGTGAAGCTTAGGCGTGAAACTATTATGCTTTGGGAAACATTGCATGGGTAGATTCTGGATGCAAGTGTAACACAGTCTGTCAAGAAACTGAAGCTGAAAAGATGCTGGCTTCTACAACAGGACAATGATCCAAAACACACTTCAAAATCCCTCAGGATCTGGCTCCCGAGTGGGCAACCGTCTAAGCGTTGGCCCTATCATCAGGAGATTGCGAGTTCGATCCCTGGTGATGCTACAGCCGTCCGTAGCCGGGAGTCCAAGAGAGGACAATTGGCCTCGCTCTCTGGGTGGGTAGGATGGCCCCTCCTTCTCCCCCATCACTCAACACGATGCTAGTCAGCGCAGACATCTGTTCAGCGCAGATCTGACGGTTGGCGCTTTCCTCCGAGCGCGTTCGGCTGTCCAATGATGTTGCGTGAGCGGCAGTTCGAAAAGACCAAAAAATATATATATAAAAAAAAAAACTACTTCAAGAAATGCAAGCTGAAGCTTAGCGTAATAATCGTTTGTCTACATTTATATTATTGTCAAAGCTTAGTGAACAGCAAAACACACTCAGTAGAGAACAGTAACTGTCAATTCTGTTGCATTAGCTAACAGACACCTGTGCTGAGTGAGTGACGCCAGAGAGCGAGAGACATCCTACCAACCCAGAAAGAGCAAGGCCAATTATGGTTTCTTGGACTTCTGTCGAATAAATAATAGAAAAAGTCTTTCATAACTTGGACTTCGATCTAGACTGCAAAATGATATAATAACACAGCTGTTTGGGTCATTCATGAAAAATGTAAAAGCTACGTTCTTCTGGTCCATGTGTCAATCTAGTTTCATAACAAAGAATACTCGGGAAGTGACTGAGGCCATATCATGATGCTGCTGCATTTCAGACTTATACAGTATATGATTCAGCCTCATCACCCACTGTTCGATAAATGTCTCCATTAAGACATAAATGAAGTGGCAGCCATTCAGTTTCAGACGCAGGCAAATGCGTCAAAGCCTGAGTGTGGAGCCTCCGTCATTGAGGGAGACAGGCAGCCTCTGCCCTCACAGCTGAGCCAAGAGAGCTTTCAGCTCTAAATAAAGTACCGCTGAGAGGAGTGTGTGTGTGTGTGTGTGTGAGTGGGTGTCGGTGTGTATGTTGAGTGTGAGAGGCTATGACAGAAACAGAAAAGAAAGATGAAGTTTCTGTGCCTCGTCCACCTTCCCTGCAGATGCAGGAAACATACCAAGATCCAGCTAAAGGACCATTATTCTACTGGCTGTTTCCCTGTGCGTCAGTCTAACTGTGACGCAAATAATGTAAACCTGGCTTTATAAATACATACATGAAGGAAGAGGGTGGCATTACGACCAAGGTCAAAGACCACAGCGCCCAGACGGAGCACAACGCTAAATCATTTAAGCTAACTTAACCCTTAGAAGATATTATCAGTGATAAGTGTGAGCCGTAATTTGATTTGATAGGTCGTTCACTCAGTCAGTCACTCAGACAGTCACTCTCAGTCAGTCAGTCAATCACTCACTCAGGCAGTCACTCAGTCAGTCAGTTAGTCACCCTCAGTCAGTCTCTCATTTAGTCAGTCACTCTCAGTCAGTCAGGCAGTCACTGTCAGTCACTCTCATTCAGTCACTCTTAATCAGTCACTCACTCACTCACTCTCAGTGAGTCTCTAATTCAGTCAGTCACTCAGTCAGTCAGTCAGGCAGTCACTCAGTAACTGTCAGTCACTCACTCTCTCAGTTATTCAGACTTTCTCAGTCACTGTCAGTGACTCAGTCACTCACTCTCACAGTCACTCAGTCTGTAACTCAGTCAGTCAGTAACTCTTTCACTCAGTCACTCAGTTAGTCACTAACTCAGCCAGTCAGTCAGTCTCTCAGATAGTCAGTCAGTCATTTAGTAGTCACTAAGTATTGTCAGTCAGTCATCATTAGGGGTGCGGGAAAAAATCGATTCTTAGATGCATCGCGATGCGGACGTGAACGATTCTGAATCGATACACAAATGTCAAAAATCGATTTTCTAAATATTTAATTTATAACGTAATGTTGACGGAGCGCAAAAGGCGGAACTTGGAAGTGGGTAAGTGCAGCGCCCGGACAGTCTGTGGCGGCACATAACAAAAACACAACTGGATGAGCGAGAAATCCGACCGGCTCCCTCTGCGTTAAAGCCAGGTTAGGTCAGGAGTCACAACACAAATGATAAGAAGAGCCATTTTGTTCTTTCAACAAAAATCAAACCACCTTGGCAGCCACAACATTTAATGTCCAGTATGTCTCAGTATGTCATAATGTCCTAGTATAGACTAAACAATATAAACGAAAACGCAGACTTACTCTACTCTGCTTTTAACTTCAGCTATAGCCGCTTTCCTCCCATCTCCGCCAGAAAACTTTTCCTCAGAAGTAGATCAGTTAAATGTCTCTTAACGACTGTTTTACGAGGCTGAAGTCGCTTCTTATTCTCCAGCTTCTTGTTCGAATTTACCCGTTCCACCTTAAAATCTGACTGAGGTGCCGAATGTAAATGCGGCACCATTTAAGGTGGAACGGGAGAATTCGAAAGAGAAGCGACTTCAGCTTCGCCACTTTTTAGTGTTTGACAGTCTCTCGTTGCAGATTTAACTTACCAAGAAACCAACTGCGCTGCTTATAAATGCGAATAACGCATCGTTGCTATGTGACCTGCAGTCTGCACGCCGGTTCTCAGTCGTTGCGAAACAGGGCTTTCGCGCTATGTTTCACACGTCCCGTCTCAAAGATACTTTACTGACACAGCAACCCCCCCCCACCCCCCATCTCTACAACGAGACCAAAACGGAAGTTATAAAATCACTAAAGAAAATGGGTAGAATAGCTGTAACGCGCTGCGTAGACATCCACTACCACTGGATCTTATTTCACCGTAACTGCGCATTTTATCGCAGATGAGTAGCAGCAGCTTCTCATGCTCCAAACGAGAGCACTGAATGAGAGCCTTCTAGTTCACTTGCCACATCACTTCCATTTGATTTATTAAAAAAGATATTGGAAGTGAATTCATCATGGATCATTACAAATACTTTGCTTTAAAAGTACCAAGTCACTTTAAATAAAAACACTGAGTCACTTAGTCACTTTAAAATGTATATTGTCTCTATATTCTATGTATATTTTGTGTATATTTAATATATTTCAGTTGGTTTTTCTTGTATTTTTATTTTTACTTATTTACTTTCTGTAGAGTTATTATCTGAGCCTCACCACAAGCATTTCAGTGCATAAATGTCCTGACATGTTGTGTAAATGACAAATAAACTTGAAACTTGAACTCGAAACTTGAGCTGACACAGTGAGAGAATATAAATGCTATATAGGAAAAAAAGATGCATTGAGATGCATCGATAATCGTTTTACAATCGCATCCCAGCCCTCTGAATCGTAATCGAATCGAATTGTGAGGTGCCTAGAGATTCCCACCCCTAGTCATCATTGTTTTGCCCGTCCACACAAAAACACTGAAAGCATTTTCAAAAATCTCCACCTGAGCATTTTCAGATACACCCATTTTCAGTGAACCAAAATGGCATTTCATGTGGACACGAGGACAAAACGCAGAAAAAAAAGTTTATATGGGCACAACTACAGAATTACTTCAGACGTATATTATGTAATTACATTTCAATAGTATCACAAAAAGAGCAGACCCATTATTACTTATTTCTCAGATTAGTCAAAAGGAACCTAGACTTCAAATGATTATAAGAGTCATAATAATGTGTTAACTGCTTAAAAAAAGCATTTAATTAGATACTGACCCCATCGTGGACGAGAGCTTTCCATGTGTGTTCTAATTTCTTTATTAACCTGAGTGAAAACAGAAATCAAAGTCAACAACCTTAACAGCCAACTGTAAAACATTTTATTGGCAAGTGCTGAATGAAAGCTTTATTTATAACTCCTGATGAAAACTGAAGGTGACAAAGTAAACAGAAAGTGGTGACGGGTGTACCTGTAAGACTGCAGGATGTCAATGATTCCAATGTACAGCAACAGACGCTCTCCTTTACTGTTCACTGCTGGAATTCCTCCCATTCTGAGGAAAAACACAAGAGGAATTTAGAAGGACAGAAAATCCAGTTAAGGCCAAAAATGGAGTACACAGCCAAATGAAGCCAAGGCGAAAATATAAAAACCTCATTTTTCACTGTTGGTGTTGGTAGACAGCATCCAGTAAAATTTCAGCAAATTCTCCTTAAAGGGTAATTCCACCAATTTCACATCAACATTTCAACAAAAGTAATTAAATCATTAAGATGTAAACAAAGACAATCAGAGTGGTTGATGAGTGATGCCTGAGACATTGTTTTATGACAGTTTTGAGATAATATTTTGTCCAAAAACATATTTGGAAAAGCTATTCATGGTAGAGAGGTATAAATATGATAATGTAAGGCAAAACAGACCCATAATAAAATTAGTTTTTAGATTTACCAATATTTTCCCATCATCAACCATCATATAAAAACCTAGAAGACTTGTTCAGGTTCACTAGTCGTTTTGCATAGCAAATAAAATGGTGATTTTTGCATTGTAGACATCACAACCCCTGGTTCCTATCAGCACCACTGCAAAGAAATCAGAGTCAGTAAGATTCTCTGCAATGAACACATCAAACCACTCTGCATGACTCTGTTTATCTCTCTCTATCTGACTTTGTGGTATTCCCCTTTAAGAGGTTGACGGTGTTGGGGTTTTACATTTGGTTGCCAACCCGTTACATCAATAGTCCATAAAGTAATATCTATCTATATAAATGAATGTATATTTGTGTGCATGCAAGTATGCTAGTGGTGAATCCTCACGTGTCCTCCGTGTCGATGTCCTCTCCGCAGGCCGAGGCTCCCTGGATCGACTCCAGTGCGGTGGAGTAAAGGGCCTTCTGGGCTAGTGGCCTTTTTTCATCGCTGCGGCCTTGGGAGCCGTCCGCCTGCTGCTCACGCTCTGCCTGGTCCAGGTTGTGCACCCCCAGCAGCAAGCTGTAGTCCATGATCTTAAAGCTTTCCAGCACCTGTAAGCCACAGGCACACAGAGGAACACTCTTAGAGTCTGCTGAAGCTAAACTTGAACTATGAAATAAGCTCAGTTTAAAGGAAAATCTTAGTAAGGCAAATGAGGCTCAATTCCCTTTTCTGTAACGTACAGATGTGGTATTTTGACCACTGTGTGAATCAGTATGCAGTAGTTGAACCAGCAGACATCAACCTTCTATGCAATGGATTTTCATTGTTTAGTGTTTTCCAAACTGACAACTCTTATATGATCTATCTAAAGGCTACTGTATAATTTTTTCATTCACATTGCGATGCTCTTTAATACAGTCATATGCAAATGTTTGAACACCCCCAGTCACACATTTTGTTGATTTTCTAAGTGTTAAGAAGTTAAATATGGCATTTTTCTATTTATTTGCTGTGTTTAACATATTGGGAAAAAAACAGGCAATATAAAACATGCCATCACGTTTGCACAGAGAGTGCCTTAACTTTAGTTGCATACAACTTAATCTTTTTAAGACCACAAGGAAAAATATTACCATTTCTTCCACACAACATGAATAACCTCAAATATGTATATATAAATATATATCTATTTCAATAAAGACAGACATTAATATATGCTATATTTGAGTGTAATTAAACAAACTGGCTGAAAAAACAATGTATGCCTTGATATACGCATTATATACAGCATGTCATAAGCCAGGGGTGCACAACTCTGGTCCTGGAAGGCCAGTGTCCAGCACAGTGTGGTGATTTACTTGTTCCAACACATCTAATCTCTTAAGTGCCAGGTTAAGGGGATCTGTTCAAGCAGGGAAACCTCCAAACTGTGCTGGACACCGGCCCTCCAGTAGCAGAGTTGTGCACCCCTGTCGTAAGCACTATCCCTTCTCCTATCTGGGTAGCTGTGTGGATTTTTTTTTAATTTCCACAAATTGTTTACACTTTTTATCTCACAATAATTCTGTGACAGTCCCTAACATTTAAGTGGACATGGAAGCAAATATAGCAATAGCGTATCCATCTTTGTCAAACAAAAGAACATAATAAAAGTTCATTAAAAGATGTGGCTGTAGTAGACTGTCATCCCTAATGTGGCTACAAAACTGCAATTCATCTAGTAGGAAAAACGGAATCGTGCATGTCACACGAACTTTACTGGCCAAGGCTGTTTTGAGGTCACGGTGTTTGTAGCTGCTGAGCCTGATACTATTATGTCTAAGGCTGTTTCGCCTGGAGTCAAACTGTACAAGAGCTGAGATATGCGGTGGTGCTTTGCGTGATTTCTGAAACCTGACACTGCGGCCCAAAAACACTGTTTTTACCAGCATTATATAGTGCGCCCCCTCAGCCTCCTCTCGATCCTGTTCAACCAGCGCAGCTCAACAGCCGGGTTTAAGAACAATGTCATCTATATTAGGTGCAACAAATGTAGTTTTAATGTAAGATAACACATTTAAATTTGAGTTACGTTCATGTGTGGGAATTCTAGTGCCATGATATGGTTTGCATGAAATACATTAATAACTGAACAATGTTTTTTTAAACCTGTGGTAAACTATTTTTTTACCATCACTAGGTACTGTTACTGTAGTAACTTGGTTAAAGGTCACCAGGCAACGGTCTACATCTAGCCATTCATCAATAGCAGTTTCTGATCACAGGGTCAATGCCAGTAAAATATTTTCAGTTGATGGACTATTCTTTATCATCATGTGTGCCTGATAAGATAATTCTGATTCTGATTCATGAGCTAAGCCAAGAAACTGTCCAGTGCACAGCTGGTCTAAGGCTGATCCAGGATGCTGTATCGAAGGGTCCACAGATTCTGCACGTACTGCCAGTTACAAAAAATGACACCAAATGAAGCCCAAAAGCCAGTACTTACCAGACAGTCTCTCTGAAGAGTCTTGACCAGGGCATTGTAAGTGTCTGCATCCAGCATCAGGCCTTCCGGAATGTCCTGCATGAAGTCGAGGTCTTTGAAAGTAGGCTTGGCTTTCTCACGCTCCTTCTTAGATGCTCGTCGCTTGTACGTGGAGCCCTTGAGGTCATATTTGAGGTGCATGTGGACCACCCTGGGCAGGATGTTGTTCATCACCACCACTCTGATGTTCTTTCCTCCAGACTGCACGCAGTACAGGCCGAAGAACTTGGGCAGCAAGGTGCGAGGGTTCTGGTTAAGATTCTAGAGGAGGGTGAAAGCAAAGCAAGAAGGCAAGAAGTGATAAATTATGAGAAACACTCTGACTTAGGAGAGGATCATGTGGCAATTTGTTATCATTACCAAGATAGTTTACCAAGATAGTTTTAAAGAACAACCATACACTAAAAAAACTGCAGAGAGCCTGTAAACAACCAGAAGTGTCATATTATCTAATTAAAACTGCAGTTATATGGTAACCCACTATGCCATTATTTTATTTTTTCCAGTTGTTTCACTTTTTCCCTCCTTCCTTATTATGTTGAATAAAAACCATTACACCTACAGAGCCAATAGAATAGTTTAGCTTTTTATTTTAAACGTGAATTTATTTTTAATACTGAGTTTCCTTTGCTTCGACTTGACTGACTGATTCTTTTACTGCCATAAAATGTCAGTAGTAACTGTTTGGGTGCGTCCAGATGTAATTCAACTCCACTGTAACACAATACACACAAACATACAAAGTAACACATATACAATAAACAACATACAGTACAATATACATTACAATATTAAATATAGGAGAAGCATAGAAAATAACACAGTAATTTCATTTGTGCATTCTTACAAAAGCCGGAAATCTTACAAACAGACTATAATTATACATACTACTCAGAAGTTTCATAACTTGCTTGCAGACCTAAGAAAAACAAAATATCGTGACAGATATTCTGTAATGCGAAGATGCCTTCAAGTATCACAATATTACATTTAGCCACATCACCAATCCCCACTGTTTTATACAGTAATATGTCAATTACGTTTAATATATGATTTGTAGTCAAAAAATAATAAGTGAAAAGAAAGTTTCCAAAACTGGAGATCATTAAAAGATACAGAAAATCATTAAAATCATTAAAAGATACAGAAAAAAATGTCCATCCTTCCACTGTGAGAAAACAACGCTATGGGTCTGAAAGGAAGTGTAGCTGTCAAGAAGCTATTACTAAGTAAAGAAATATAATAATATAAGAACTAAGAACTAATATAAGAAACAGAATACTGTGTTTGTGGTTACTTGGATAGTGAGAAGAAGAAAATGCAACTGATTTTTAAGACTGAACTTTGGAGGTGTGGAAAAATATCCCTGCAGATTTCTTTGAAAAACCTAAAAGCGAGTCTCCTGTAAGGAGTAGATATATTAAATAATGAAAAAAATATATTATTAGAATATAATTTATGGTTCATTATATATATATATATATATATATATATATATATATATATATATATATATATATATATAAGAATATCACCTGAAGGTTTGTTAATGATTTAAGTATCTGTAGATCATCTGTAAGGGAATCTAAATAAAGTGTGGCCATATAATATATAATTTCATATGATTATAATTTAGTTATTGAGGCTTCTGTGCAATTTTTCTGTTAAATAGTTTTCTGTTTTTCCTGATGGTGAAAAACGAATTCATCTACTTGATGTTATTTTTACTGAAAACTGAATGAATGAAGGGCGTGCTGTCCTATGCACATCTCTGTATGTTTTGCACTACACTGGTGGTGCAGTGTATTCTGTAGTGCATTAGAAATCAATAAAAAAACAAGACTGCAATTGCAAAAAGCGTAAGAGCCCATATCTCAATCCTCCTCCACACACAACTATATTTACATGTCAGCAGTGAAGGAAAAGTGAATCAACAAGTGAATCACAGGCAAAAAAGACAGATAACACTTGAAGTCTTTACCACAAACCACATCAACTCTTACTAAAAATACACACTTCATGTTAATGCAGCCAAACACATCCAGTTAGCCCACCATCTGACTTTCCAGAGGGAACAGCCTTTGCAGGCTGACTCTAATTAGTGTCAAAGTCTTTATCCACTTAAAAGGAAGAACTGCACACAGGGCCAAGCAGTGATACGATCTCCAGCTCAGTGGAGCGGACTCCTTGAGCTCCTCGAGCGGCAGTCAGTCACCTTTGCAGCAACCTTCAGAAAGGGCACACTTCAAAAGAGGCCCTCAGGCCCCCACGCAAAGCTTTCTCGAGAGCACAGTAGATAGCAGGTGACCAAAGGCAAGGCAGAAAAGGTAAAGTCAGGGAGAGGCTAGTACTTCTAGGCTAGTGGTTTTCAATCAATGTCTATTCAATTCAATTGAGTATAATACCTACATATAGTACTGTGCAAAAGTCAGAGACCACCCTTCATTTATTCCATTTCCAGTCAAAACAGTCATTAAGTACAACTTATTTATTTTTAGGAGATTTTTCTGAGGAGATTTGATATGAGATAATCCACTTACATAAAAAAGGCAAAATAAATGAAAAAATAGTTATAAAACTGTAACTTAAAATAAATATTAGAAGACTCCCACCAACCATGGAAATGCTGGTAGACAATTAGAAAATACAACCAACTTTTAAGATTGAACTTTGTAGATGTGGAAAACATTCCTGCAGATTTCTCTGAAGTCTCCCCAAATAATAATAATAATAATAATAACAATCATTATAAATGTCATTTATATATTACCGTTCCATTTTTTTCGTGCATTAAAACAAAATCTGCTTCACCTTTTTTTTTAGGTTTCATATGTGGAATAGAAAGCCAGCACTGGACGATCTTAGGGCACAATTTGGTACCTAGTTTGTCAGCCTTTCAGAGCCATATGAGGATGCTGCACCATTAAGAGATTTAAAAACTAGTAATAAAATTTTATAGTTGATGCTAAAACAGACAGCTGGTGGAATCAGGATAAAACTGCTCTAATATGATCTTGGTTTCTTGAATGCTGTAGTTTGTTGTGCTTGTAGGAAATCCTGTGAGCAATGCATTACGATATTCAGGACAAGAAAACACAAAAGCATGGATCAGTTTCTTATCGTCTTGTAACTGGGTCTCACCCTCGCTATATTTCTTAAATGACAGAATGCAGTTTTAGTAATATTTTTAATGTGTGTTTTAAAAGTTAAATCACAATCAATAATTACGCCAGATGTGAAAAAGGCACTAAAATACTAAATACTTGTACTGATATTATAGTTAGTTGTTGAGGATTCTGCTCTAAAATAACTGGGAATAGAACCTCTTTACATAAACTTACATTGAAAGGTAAGAGTGTTTTTGCCCTGTCCTGTAAAGTTTCTAGTTTTTCTTTGGACAGCAACGATATTTTGTTCATTTTTCCTGACACTGAAAAATTAACAACTTGTGCTTAATAGTGGTCTTGACTGGAAATTAAACAAATGAAGGGTGGTTTCTGATTTTTGCACATCACTGTACATAAAAGTCAACTACTGGAAAAAGGCAGTAGTAGAGCTGGGGCTCACAATGTTACTGGTAAAAGTGTATGTGTTACAGTTAATGTAAAGCATGATTATTGCACACTGCACATTTTTTTTGGATCTCCCCAGCTACAAACTACCTGACTGAAAAACAGCTTGAAAACTCTCTCCATTAACCCTTGAAAGTCAAGAATTGTTGTTTTCAATTACGTAACTACATATTTAATTACATTGTAAGTTACACCATCAATTACATTTACATTCAACTTATATTCTGTATGAACAGCTTCAAGTCTGTGACTTTTTTCCATTTGTTTAGATGTCAAGCAATGAAAAAACCTTTCCACAAAACAAGACTACATGATATAACTAATACTAACTTCTTATCAAATTCAGACCATAATCAAGTCTCTCCTCCTCTACTTACAAACTCTGCTGTGGTGTAGACCCCTTACAATCCGCACTTTTCACTCCACTGAATTGTTTCAATGAGCTACGACAGACAATTACTATTACTACTGAATTACAGTGTGCTTTTTGTTATTGCTGGTGATGCTACTTTGACTTTTAAGGGTTAACTGGGTGTGTCGGAGCTCTGTGCACAGGTGCCGTCAACCAGCACTGGTTCTTTTTATCGTCAGCAAGCAGCCCGTGTCCTCCATGGGGGCACTCGGCCCCTGCTGAACCGACAGAGAGAGCTGAGCCGAGCCACAGCCGTCACTCACACGCTCTGTTCTAAATTCATTCCGTCTCCATCTGCCCTCATGAGGAGTCCTCTTGGCATATTAACACCTGCTTTCCGCTTAAGTGCAGAAGCACGGGGGACGGGGCAGATAAAAATGCAATTTACATGCTAATGGTCAGCGCTAATTTCATTATTCAGCTAACAGGTACACATACCGCCCTAAGCAAAGGGGCTAAAGGTACAAAAATAGCAACGGAACATTCTGTTGTTGTGAATTGAGAATTCGGAAATGTGGCAGTCAGCAAATGCAGCACGGATACAAAACAGATTTACTATGCAATACTCTTCAGCATCAGCAAACATTAGACTGCAATGAATTAACAATTTAAAACGCTGCTATGCTACCAGAAACAATATGGATCTCTTTCTTTTTTGTTAATCCCTAAAACCCTAAGAGTCTGTATGTGTAAATATGTTCATTTGCATTTAGTCTAAAGATGTAGGGTGACTGTACAAGCAAAAACACATTTATTGTCAAGATAAATGGATTTAAATAATATGCATGGGTGCCTAATGTGCACTGTACATAAGTACTATAGAGCTGTAAGTAGATACAAAAATATATCGCTGCTGTTGGAACAAAACTTCACATCTCCAAAATGGTAACTTTACAGGAGAAGGAAAAAAACTACTTCACTTTTAATGTAAATCAATGGAACCAGAATTTTGTTCAAGTCATTTTGGGCTGTTTCTTTTGTTCCATCCTTCAGGAAATTTACACACAATGTAAAGGGCAACAGGCATCTTCAAATTATGTCAAAAACTGAAAAATGGCAAAAACGGAGATATGAGGTTTTGTTCCAACAGCAGTGATATAAATATAAAACCATCATGTGGCAGCAAATGCTTAGAAACTGACGTGCCAATCAGGTTCTTCTTACTGTTAGAGAGACCAGTGACCAGCTGCCAAGTAATCAATATCAATTTATAACATAAAGGTGCATTTTAACCAATGATTTTTAAGTGCCTTTATTCGAGTCACTGTGAAAGCCCTAAGGAAGCAGCGATGACATTCTTTTGCAGAAGAGTTACAAAGCAAGGACATCAACCTCCAGGGAAGCAGCAAAATCAAACAGTGCAGTGGTTTAAAAATGAGATGCGGGATGAAAAGCTCACCATGTAATATCCAGGAAGAAGCTTCTGCAGAAACTCAGCCTCCTTGTGCATGACAGTCTTGATGATGAACTCGTCGTCCTTGGTAACGTAGAACACAGAGCCACTGGCCCCAGGATTGGAGAGCTCGATAAGAGGCTCGTTACACAGCGAGTACTGCAATCAGAAAAGAACAAAAAGTCATTAATACAAACTTTGATTGAAGAATGGAAATATAGGGGGTGTGGCATCACAACTTAAAGGCATTGTTCAGTCAAAAATACCATTTACACTGCCTCTCCTTCATCTCAAATGTAGTTGATCAGGCAACACATGTATGAAGTTGCTAGGCTAATGCAGCTAATAAATAAAGGGACCTTACATCTAACCAGCTAGCATCATGCTAACCGCACACCTAAATCACTAAAAACCTTTCAAACCACACACTGCTATGAGTTACACAGGCAGCTTGCCTGATGCTAATAGCGTATAAGCTTCCATTACTTGTCAGCTATATTAATCTTGTAGCTTCAGTGCAAAACTAAATGCACAAATTTTAGGCACCAAACACATTTTAGCTGATAGACTACAGTTGGGGTAGGGGGAAATTTTATTTTTGGAGAAGTGAACTGTAGAAGAATTATTGCTTTCATTTTGCTATACTACTCAAATGTAATTATGTGATTATATACACCGATCAGGCATAACATTCTAACCACCTCCTTGTTTCTACGCTCATTGTCCATTTTATCAGCTCCACTTACTATATAGGTGCACTTTGTAGTTCTACAGTTACAGACTGTAGTCCATCTGTTTCTCTGCATACTTTGTTAGCCACCTTTTACCCTGTTCTTCAGTGGTCAGGACCCCCATGGACCCTCACAGAGCAGGTATTTGGGTGGTGGATCATTCTCAGCACTGCAGTAACACTGACATGGTGGCGTTGTGTTAGTGTATGTTGTGCTGGTGCAAGTGGATCAGACACAGCAGTGCTGCCAGAGTTTTTAAACACTGTGTCCACTCACTGTCCACTCTATTAGACACTCCTACCTTGCCAGTCCACCTTGTAGATGTAAAGTCAGAGACGATAGCTCATCTGCTGCTGCACAATTTGTGTTGGTCATCTTCTAGTCCTTCGTCAGTGGACACAGGACACTTCCCACAGGACGCTGTTGGCTGGATATTTCTGGTTGGTGGACTATTCTCAGTCCAGCAGTGACACTGAGGTGTTTAAAAACTCCAGCAGCACTGCTGTGTCTGATCCACTCAGACCAGCGCAACACACACTAACACACCACCACCACCACATCAGTGTTACTGCAGTGCTGAGAATGATCCACCACCCAAATACCTGCTCTGTGAGGGTCCATGGGGGTCCTGACCACTGAAGAACAGGGTAAAAGGGGGCTAACAAAGTATGCAGAGAAACAGATGGACTACAGTCTGTAACTGTAGAACTACAAAGTGCACCTATATAGTAAGCGGAGCTGACAAAAATGGACAATGAGCGTATTTAATTACATTGCGAGTCACACAATCAAGTACATTTACATTATTCAGCTTCAAGTCTGCATCTTTTTTCCATTTGTTTAGATGTCAAGCAGTGACAAAGCATGGATGGTTTTCCCTTCCACAAAACAAGACTGCATGTGTGATATTAATATCTCATCAAATTCAAACCATAAGTATCTCCTATTTACAACCTCTAACATGGGATGGATTGAAAGTTTAGAACTTTTGACTTGGAATTTCTCAACTTGTTTCAATGAGCTACGACAGGGAATTACTACTGAATTACATCATGCTTTTGTTATTGCTGGTAATACTACTGTGACTTCTAAGGGTTAAATGGGCGTGTTATAGCAGGGTAATTGAAGGGAGTCGCCAGGTTTTGGGTCTTGGCCATTTAAGAGGTTAAATGTTTTTTTTTAATATACATATGAAGATTTTTATTATTATTTCATGTAACAGTGCAGTACTGTGCAAGAGTCAGAGACCCTTCATTTACTTAATTTCCTCTCAAAATGCCCATTAAGTTAATTTAATAAGTTAATAAGTTAATATCATATTGTTTTTATTTTGTTTGTCCACCCTCTGCCTTTATTACAGCTTCTATTCTATTCAAGAGGCTTGCTTTTATTTTTTCAAAGAAATCTGAAGGGATATTTTTCCACACCTCCAAAGTTCAGTCTTACAAGTTGGTTGCATTTTCTGCTTCTCACAATCCAAGTAATCCCAAACACATTCAGTAACGTTGAGGTCTGGACTTCGAGGTGGCCAGTCCATTATTCTGAGAAAACCAGCAGCTTCTTTGCTTGATTAGCAAATTTTTTAACCGTCTCATTTTCTCAGTGAGGTTCTTCTTGAAAAGATACACATCCTTTCAGACCCATAGTGCTGTGTTGTCTTCTCACAGTGGAAGGATGGACAGAAACACCTGTGGATTTTTTCAGATCTGAAGCAGCTTGATTTTCTCCTCTCTCTCAAACATGAAAGCTTTAAGCTTTGTTTATCTGATGGGGACAGGTTTGGTGATCTACCAGGTCTTGCACAGTTGGGAGTCCAATTTTCTCTGTAGCATTTAATAAATTTTCACACTTCAGTTTTGGAAGCTTGTTTTTTCACTTATTTTCCATTTCCTTTCCCCTTCCTTATGCAAGTGGATTATCTTGTATCTAACCTCTAACATCATATAATGGCCGTTTTGATAGGAAATGATATAATTGAAGGGCAGTTTTTGACTTTTGCACAGTATGAGCTGATTATTGTTTGGTTGAATACAGATACACAATAACAGTGGTGATCTGAGGCATTAAAAGAGAGGTGAAAATAGAATAACAGACGTTCTCTGCTGAGGCCCAGTGGGTAAATTCAGCATGAACCTGCACTCGCAGATAAAAGGTGAGCGAGAAAAAAGAAAGAGAGAAAACAAATCAGAGGCACTAAGTGTGAAGTCTGGCCCAAGGCCGTCTAATGAATCACTGTGTGGGAGAAGAAAGTCACCTACAGCAAGCCATCTAAACTAACCAGCCCCCCCCACCACACACATACAGACAATTACACATACACACATAGCTGCTCATACACACCCACACAGGCGACTGCGGTAAACACAGACTCAGTCATATGCAAATGAATACTACACTGTTTCCGACACACAGCACACATGCTGCTACAGTAAATGGTTTCCAACACTGAGGGACTGTGGGCAAAACTTTCCACTGTCTGTGGGTTTTGGTTGTCGTAATACCAGAATTCTGTGGCAACAGATAAAACATGATAAACACCCAACATTAACTGAACTGATCATACAAAAGTATTTAAATTGATGCAGCTTAACAAAGAACAGAATTCAACATTAAGTAGCGTTAAAGACTATTAATAGAGCCCATATCTTACTTTTTATTGTAATTTATTTCTTTCACTGGTCCCTTTATGACATTTCTGTGGGTTTATTAACCAAAACCATGCTTTATTTTTAATGACCATTTTAGAATTATGACGAGATTAATGACCAGACTTAGAATTAATCAGGCTACCTTTGCAACCATCTTGAAAACTGATATATGTAAATGATCTCTGTTCTGATCGGCTGCCCTTTATCGTACCTAATTCAAAGCAGACTAAAACACTCCATATAACAGTGTGAATGCTAAACTGCTGTACGTTGTACAGGCCTGTGTATGTAAATATTCTGGTTTTTTGTGACATCACAGAAACAAATCAATGAATTCATGGGATTGTTTTCGCACCTTACTTTCCATATATGGACTGTATGGACCGGAAAAGGAACAGCAGGTTGCAAATTTGCTTACTTCTATTTCTATTTAGTTAAACATATTGGAAGTAAAACGTAAAATATAAATGGTGCCATAACTTTTGCACAGGCCATGTTTTATGTTTAATTTTTTCTAATATGTTAAATTCAGCAATTAAGCAGTACTTGTGCATTAAAATGTGCAGAAGTGTGTTATCTGTAGATGCTGTGTTAGCTTCTGCATTCAACCATAAGCCAGACCTCTAGGCTTTGTTAGAGAGTCCTACTTTGACAGGAAAAGGTCATTTGACTGACACACAAACAACAAAAATATACCTGCATGAAACAATGTAGTACACAAATGATCAGCGGACTTCAAGAAACGCTGTGCTGGAGACATGAGAGTCTGAATAACTTTTAAATATTGGATGCCGTGAATGATAAAAATCTTTTTCATATCTTTCTCAGAAAGGCTCACTGTTGTTAAGAGTGTGCAGAGCAGGCGCTCGCTTTCAGCTAAATAAAAGTTTGCTTCCCTTTGGACGGATGAAATGGATGAAGTGTGTATACAGTGCAGACAGACAACATGATATAAATACTGAAATGCATGAGCTGTTAAGCAAAACACTGTGACATGCAGGACAGACTCTGAATGAAAAACGGGCAGACAGAAACATGAAGGCAACACAATGGAAGAAAAGACTGGAAGTGACAGAAACCACAGGGAGTCACAGTCAGCAGCCCTTCTGATGATCTTCCTCAGCCAACAACGGCTCTGACAGTAATGCATCAAAGCACTTATATATGCACATATTAAAGTGGAATAAAAATGCATAAGGTGGTGATTCAACTGAGTTAATAATAATAATAATAATAATAATAATAATTTTTATTTAAATTTAGTGTAAACGCAATTACAAACAGGCAAAAATGAGCCACAGTACTCCAATCATTCCCTAGCCTAAACAAACATTTTATAAATCTGGATTTCAAAGCACCTATCAAACTTTCTTTCCTAATATTTTCTGGAATGGATCATTTCTGCATAATTCAATCAACCACCTGTGAATCTACACGTGTCTTCTCAATTTTATATGTAACGCTGATTATGGCAAAATAGTGAGAAATCTGAAAAATATGCATTCTTTGGAGATCAGAATGCCCTGCACGTATCCCTCTGCCATAAAAATACATTTTAGGCCAAAAAAACTCAAAAGTATTGTAAAACAATGTCTCAGGCATCAGGCAACTTATTCATAATCATTACATGTAAATAACTTTCTGTGAGGGAGCTTTTAAAGGCATTAAACGCTTCAGACGTCTGGTTCCTATCACCACCACTGTGAACAATTCCGACTCACTGTTTCTGTGAATGGAGTATTTTACGCCAAACCACTCTGAATGATTCTGTTTACATCTAATCCATTTAATTATGCAGAATTGTTGAAAAAATGCCCCTTTAAGAGCTTTGGACAAAATAAAATTCTCAGGCTATTTTCAGATATTTTTAGTAAAAATTTTGGAAAAAAAAGTTTGGAGTATTAAACCAACAGCGTGTTTTTGAAATTTATTCCAAACCCAAAATAACTGAACCATAATAAGATTCCAACACATATAATGACCTATGACTCAGGATTCAAAGAATCATTATTAAATTGAATAATGGTGAAATCCAAATTTAACTTGCCTTTATCTACTTCAACTTACCACTCAAATGTGCATCACACCTGTGTAACACAAGTGGCCACTCATGGCAGAAAAGGACAGTGACAGGGGACAGTGAGGAGCAGAATATTCAAACAGAACATACTCGCCCTCGGTCGGTTAGCCTCAGTGAGCTAATCGGCTAGCCATGCAAACTCTGCGTGCAGAACGTTTTTAAGAAGTTTGTGCATAAAGTATTTAATGTTTGTGAGTAATAGCTTGGTCTGGCTATAGAGCAGAACCTAATGTAATGCCTTTCTTTTTGTTCTTGCTAACCGTCTAGCCTTTAGCATGCTAACGAGCCAGCTAGCAGGGTACAGTGATAAAGCTGTATCAGCAGTCATGTATAACAGATGGAGAAGTTTGTAACTTAACTATCCCAGTAAATCGTATGTCATGGTTTTGAAGCATTATACCACATTATTTTGCGGTTTGAAAGGCAATGACTAAACACAGCCACTGGGTATGCATACCCATGACGCACTGCGCAAACAGTCAGAGTTGAAGTGATGAATGGGACGGTCAGTGGAGTGGTCTCATCAGACAGTCTTCGCAAACTGCAGTTAGTGAGCTAGCCGGCATATCGTAAGGGGCTGGAATGACCTTATTTTGTAAGGTTATTAAGCTTAATTTTACATTTTGTGGCCTCATTGTGTTCAGAAGTATAAATAAAGTGGTTCAAAAGGCTTTCAGAGCTGATTATCTGTTCTATTCTGTGCAAACTTTGCCACTTACTCATAATTCAGTTCTACCCAGGTAGGCAGCGAGGGCGAAATACAATGAACAACTTTACAGTGAGAAAATGTATTTGTGTGTAAAATATGAATTTTAATGACTAACAGAACAATACAAGGGCACAGAGCCCATGTCTGAATAAAATATAAAATCATTTATACACAGTGAGCCTTTGTTTTTTGCAATTACAGCACTATATAACAGAATAAATACAACTAAAACATAAATGCAGTATAATGTAAATAAGATTTCTTTTCCTTTGATGACGAAGTTGCTTGTCAGACAGTGAAATTGCTATTCGCTACAGTGCAGCTTCATTCGGCCTAACTCAGCTCTGACTGTTCACACAGCGTATCATCGGCATGCATACCCAGCAGGGGCGTTTTGTATCTCCCGGTTTGAAAGGGAAATGCATCAGGTCGCAATGATCTCTGGGCAAGTTCTGCTGCTGAAGTCGGCACTTGTGTTCCCTCGAACCCTCATCTCTCCGAGGGCTCATCTGACACTCTTCACTTCAGTTGATAAGGTAAAGGATTTGTCCATTATGATGAAATGATGAGGTCTTGTTAAAACCAGCATTTAAACAGGTGGGTAAGATTTTATGATGCACTGAATCGCTTCCTAAAGAACTATAATCATATCAAATCATTGTGAGGCCAGAAATTCACTTTTAACACACAAGTGCACACGCTACGATGACACACACACACATGTAGATCCACACACACACATACACACACGGATCCCTTTTTCATTTACAATAATCAGCAGAGACAATCTAATGCCTGTGGATGTCTCTGTCAGAGGTGATATCACCTTCATTCCACCGCTGCACTGTCTACATGGCTGGGTTTAATCATCAGTGTCCTGATGAGGGGTTTCTGAATGTACAGAGGAATTAGCTCAAGTCAAGCACTCGGTTCTTACCAGATAGTCATCGGGTCGGATCCCAAAGAGCTCCCTAAAGTAACGGAAGGCAACGGGAGCGTATGTCTTGAAACGGAAGTCTGGGAAGTGGTGGGCTGGCGTCAGGTTGCTCCCCTCGCTGAAAAAAAAATTACATATAAAATTAGATGATGTATTTGACTTATATTAGCGGCTAGTATGGTATGCAAAAAAAAGAGATTAGAGTCTTGACTAGGGGCAACGATAGCCAAACATAGCCAAAACTTCCTGATTTTGTACTTTACACTCATTGGCTTTCTGATTTAACTGGATTTTATCAGTCCAACAGGAAGCAAACATTTGTTTAGCTAAAAGCAAACATTGCACACTAACAACAATGAACCTTTTAGAGGAAAACACATGGAAATAATGTGTCAGGTTCGTGGCTTGCCATACTTTTAAAAGTGATTTAAACTCTTTCATGTCTCCTGCACAACATTTCCTGGTGTCTGCATTTGTATACTACACTGTTTAACGTGGGTTTGTTTTTGTTACAGTACAGTTTCAACAATCGTCTGCCAGTACATTTGACATAAAAACATAATTCTGTGGTTGGTCATTTTGCATGTCAGTCAAATGGCCCCTTCCTGGCAAAGTAAGCGGTTATAGGCCATGCTGCGCTATGAACTCAGTAGTAATACCTAGACGTCTGGCTTCTTACAGATTACAGTCGTGCAAACTGTACGGCGCCCCTGGTCAAATGACGTTTTCTTGATTTTCTAAGCATATATCAGTTAACATGTCTTCTACAGAGAACAAGCTTCTGCACATTTTAATGCACAACTACTTTTTATTTGCTTAATTTAACATAGTGGGGAAAAACCAAACATAAAATGTGGGCTGTGCAATAGAAAACATGCACTAACATTTGCAGAAGATGCCATGTTTATGTTTATTCCCTGTAGAGGACATGTTAACTTATTTTCACTTAAAAAAAATCAACAAAAAATCTAACTTGACCAGGGTGTACAAACTTTTTTCAAGCAACTGTTCAAGATTACAGTGGCAGTGACCACTAGTTGGGATCTTAAAGGGCCCATGTTATGGAAAAACAAATTTTCCTCTTTTTTAAATAAAAGAGTCCGATGTAGTACGTAAACACTGTCAACATTTCAAAATGTATTATTCACTCCTCAGTCCATACAGTCTGTATATGGAAATTAAGCTACAAAACTGCCCATTTTCAATTAATTGTTTCTGTGATGTCATGAGAACCAACTCATTTACATTTATCCACCGTCTTTTCAGTCTTCGGCAGTTTCCCAGTCATTTATATGGAGTATTTCAGCTCAGCTTAGCTTCAGTCTTAAAGGCACAGTAACAAATACAGTCTGTTTCATTCAAAGGTATAAAGAAAGGTTTGAAAATGGTTGTGTAAAGGTTAATTATGACCATTTTTGGTACATGTTCATAAATGGATTTGAGGAATAAATAATATAAAAGAAACAAATAGGATATGGGCTCTTTAAACCTGTAAGCGGAGTGCAAGGACTGAGGACTGACCTTGGGAAGAAGATGCTTTCCACCACATAGAAGTCCTGCATGAGTACATCTCTCTCTGGCTTGGAGCTCAGGTTGCCCACCGTGTAGCCGATGCCCAGCTGAATGGCTCCTTTTAGTGCTGATGATGTGGTCTGTGGGAGAAAAGGTCAGAGCTGAAGACGAGGAAGGTCCCAGTCAAAAGACTCACACTCAGTCCAGATGGCAACAGGCAACAGGCCTAATTTTAGACACTCATCTGAAGTGAAGTGCTTCAATTAAAGAGAGCTCATTTCAAAGCCCCTTGTGTGGTGTTCAGGTGTTTTGGGACCCATTTTCAATGTTTACCAAAAGAAATAATGATGTGATTTATTATTATTTCAGCTTCAGATTTCTTGGCCTTTGCTCATTTTCTGTAAAGAGCATATAAAATAACACATTTTCAGTGTCTTCACTCTGTTCACCCCCCACACATTTATATTACACATGTGGTGTTGGGTGAACCCGCGGGGAATAAAAGTGGGGAGGTGCTGTGTCCTTCACTCTGTTCTCCTCCTACATGGCCTGCTGTTACTGTGTGTGTTTCTGTGTGTGTGTGTGTGAGGGTGGACAACATGGACAGGCTGCTGACTGGCTACAGTTGCTAAAGAAGAACCCTAAGCTGGACACTTGTGACATTTTAAACATCTAGTATTTTTACATAAATTGTTATGGTTGTTATTTAAAAAAAACAATAATGCGGTGGGTCCACCAGACCACTGAATACCAAAAACATCAACACCACACAAGAGTTAAACAAAAAATATCGAGTTGGAATCGACCAATACTGAATATTTCAATATCGGTACTGAAAAATGGTGCTGTGCCATCTCTAATTGTCAATGAACATCAAAGAAACTTTTCTTTTATCTCCACTATTCTATGAAAGCTCCAACAATCGCTTTAAGCAAACAGCCTTTGATAACGATGATGAAAATGTCATCACTGAACACTGAACATTTACTGGCATTTTCATCATCTTCATTAAAGGCTATTTAATTAAAATGCTGTCATGGCAGAGATGCTTGGTGAAATACCACAGATGAAAAACGAAAATGAAAGAAAGGCTTGAAAACCTTCTTGTAAGTCGTCTCTCCAGATGCATCCACTCCCCTGTGCCCAATCTTCTTTCCGAGGCCCGGCTGGCCTGAAGATGACGGCATCTGAAGGGGAGACAGAATAAATCAGCACTGCTGCCTGAACACATCATTTTCTTTTTTTATTGCAATACACTAAGTAATTAAGTGAGTAGCTGTCTGTGGTGTGATAGGGCAAAAGCCTTGGTTTATACCTCTGTGATAAAGGCCTTCTTGGCAGCATCTGTGAAAAAAAGAGAAAAGAAAGAGAGAACACTAATTAATCTACAGTGTCTCTAAATGCAGGCTTGATCTCATATAGGAACATAGAGGGCTTGGCACCAGATGCATTTGAAAGAGTTTGAAAGAGTTTCTTCTCTTCTTGCAGCAGCGTGTTTCTCTTGGCCAAACACATCGCCATGAAGTTGTTTGCTCTCACCTCCAGTGTGTTTCTCTCTCTCGCTCACTCTCTCACTCTGTCTCTGTGCTTCGTAAACTGACAAGCCCTAAGTCGAGCCAGACAACACCTGCCAGTGAAATCACTCCGAAGGAGCTGATGCTGTTGTGCAGCACAGAGGATGGTGAGTTGAGACGATAGAGAAAGTAGATGTAGAAGACACTACGCAGACTCAGACTCGACACAATGCAAACTCAATTAGACTGAAGCTTCCTGGAGCAACAGTAAATGCAAAAGGAACTTTCGGGACCAACAGTAGTGCAGGTCTGTAATGACCTTGACGGGGACTCTTTTATTACTGCATTTGATGAGCTTTAAATGCTTAATATTCTGCTTTGTGAAACCTGTGACTAAGACCTAGGACTTATCCAAGGAATGCAGGCACAGTTTGCCCCTGTACATTTACAGAAGGGCTTAAAAAAAAAACTGATCGTATGACGCTGCTGTTTCTCACACTCAAACTTCTTTTCATTTCAGTTTACGCAATACGCTATGCGAAGCTGTGTGAAGCAACATTAGATTCAATTTATGAAATTTCACAGCATGCAAGCATCTATATTATCATGGCAACATAATTTGATAATATTATCAAGATGACGTGTTTTGAGAGTCTATGTTCATCGAAAAGTGGCAAAGCTTCAGGACAGGGCAATAAGACGATGTGGACGCACGTATGAAAAAACATATCGAAAAATGATTTGGATGTGAAACAAATTAAACATTTAGCACCATTGTTGCTCAGCCAGAAAAAGATTCTGCATGCTTATGTACACACATAAATGAACATCACTGCTGTCGGGACAAAACCTCATATCTCCATTTTTGTTTTTTTTTCTCCGTTTTTCAGTTTTTGACATAAAATGCCTGTTGTCCTTTATATTGTGTGTAAATGTCATGATGAATGGACCAAAAGAAACGACCCAAAAGGACTTGGAAAAAAATCTGGTTCCATTGACTTACATTAAAAGTAAAGTAGTTTTTTTCTTTCTCCTGTAAAGTTATCATTTTGGAGATATGAGCTTTTGTTCGAAAAACAGCTACACACACACACACACACACACACACACACACACACACACACACACACATTTTTACCCCACACGTAAATGCCATTCATTCAAGTTTGTTGTTTTATTTGTGACACAGAACATGTTTGTTACCAAAAAGAAATATTTAAAAAGTAGAATTAGTTAGTTTGATTATATCAACTGAATATACTGGTGTTGGCATTTGGTATTGGCCAATATTTATCAGTATTAAAAGGGACAAAGTGGTCTCGGTGCATCCCTACTAAAGAACACTGACCAACTGATTACTTCATTACAAAGAGAGCATTGTTATTGTTCGATTACAATTAGTGCAGAGCAGGATGTGAAATACTACATACAAACCACTGTTTTTATAGTTTTTGGTAATATTTGTAAATGTGGTGCTCCTTTTTTTGCCTGTTCCAACTTATTAGATGTCAGAAAAAATAAATACTGTGGCATATCTTGTATCATGAAAACTTCTTGAAACACTGTGATATTATACTTTTGCCATGTCGCTCACCTCTACGAAGCTTCATGGTGGCTTCCAAGTTTGGCCAGAGCTTTCCTGTGTATAGTGTATAGAAAAAGTAGCTACCAGTTCATTCAGAACTACTGAGCAGCAAATGAGCTGTCACATGTTTGTAAATGAAGCCAAAACAATAGTTTCATTTAATAATAGTCAGCAATGCCATGTTCTTCTGTGTGTTAGACAGCCGTTGTATGTGCTAATATTAAGAACTCCTGGCCTGAAACACAGAGGTAGCAAGGCACCATGTATAGCATGGGGTTTAATGCTCCTACACACCTATTCATCTGGTAAGTAGCTGATCAACTGATGAGCTGGGTTTGGGCAGGCAAATCGCAAAATTGTGCTGGACTCTTGTACTCCAGGACCTGAGTTGGGTTCCACTGTATTAATATTACCGCTAGTTGGTCACTGCAACAGTACAGTCACCCTGCCAAGCCTGTGTTAGCTGACTTTTTTATATTCTTTAAGCATGAATGCACTCATTCACTGCTGTATGTAATATTATGATTTAAGCCTCAAGGCACTTCCTCGGTAAAGACACACAGCGCTACACTGTCATGCAAAAAGTCACCTACTCATTGCTATGAAAGACAGCTTCGTGAATCCAAAGTCCTTTGAGAGGAAAAACAAAGGATTATGGGGTAAAGCACTGCTGTTTAAAATGTCAGGTATGAAAAGAAGTGGGTTAGACGCTGAGCTGGAGCTCAGTCAGCTACAAAACTGACGCCTGAAGAGCAAAGGAAATGCGTTTATCAGCAACAGCAACGGCTTTTCAATACTGTTTTTAACATGCTCTCGCCTATGTCCCTTCACGACTTTGATGCGTGAAGCACCTACGTCACACACAGAGCCACTCGCAGGACAAGAAAAGAGTGGATTTTTCATTAGGAATGTACTCACACTCAGTTAGGATAACCGCACTGAGTTAAATAGACAGCCAAGCAAACTTTGTAATGTAAACCTTTATTGATAGTGTAACTTGCTGCTTAAGCTTAGAATGAGAATCATAGTGTAGTGCCCATTTTTGTTGTTGCTACCTGTGTAGGCCTTAGATTCCATGCAGACAAAACAGTATAAAGCTGGTTTATGCTGGTTTATGCTAGTCTTGTGCTGGTTTAGCTGGTCATGTTGCATGGTCATGCTTTTCCTAGTTTCACAGGTGACCAAGTTATCTATGCTGGTTTTTCTAGTAGGGTTACTAACTAGCAAGTTAGCAAAGTAAAGTAGTATGTAATATAACAGTCATGGAAAACTGATGGGAGTTTTGTACATAAAGCCCAGTTTGAATTTAGCAAACTGAAAGTTAGTTTTAAAATATATGTTAAAATATTGTATCACTTAAAACATTGTATTATTATTATCTGTCCTTTTTTAGGAACAGCTCTAAAGCTGAGGATTTCCTCAGGGGCAAACAGTGAGACAAGTTGACAAGGGCTAAAGTACTAAAGTACTAAGTACAAAAACAGCAAGACTCAGCTACTTGGGGCATTCCAAGCAAGCTAGAAGTTTGATGTGTAACATGGACAAACCAATACCAATTTCACAGTGGATCTCAATTTCAAACTATGTGCTTTCATGTTATCAAGCTAAGGGAATTCTTTTCTCACCATTCATTCACTCACTCACTCATGTTTAGCAGGCTAAAGATTCATCACAAGGGGAGCTATTATCAAGTTTCTTTAGTGCGCATTATTGAAATGGAGGAAAACTGAATGAACCCACACCAGCAGGATTTCACAAATGCTTGAGTTTGCAGTTCCAAATATGAAGTAAAAGGCTGAAAACACATCTGTACGCAAATGTAGCGTCCATTTGATACTGCTGCCATTGCAGCCCAACAACTATTGGAGTGGTTTGAAAGAGCGGCGCTTCATATCATCGACATAGTGTGTCCTTGCATTTTCAATCACTAATCTGCTACTTTTTGCGAGTGGCCATTAGATCTCCATTACCCTGTAGGCTGAAATAACCAAACGTGTAAGTGTAAAGATGTTTCGTCATGCGGACTCAATCACCCAGATGTGCCAGCACGCTCCTTTTCACCCCGTTTCCATGGTTCCCTGATTAAGGTCAACTGGCTTTTTCTGAAACCGCACGTGCGCATGGAATCAACAGACACATGCTTCCTTCCACGCTCTAAATAGGGCATTCGCTGTACGCAGTTCAGCTCATAGCCATACACAAAGAGCTAACAAAGGCCAAAACAAAGAGGGATGGTATGGGATGATGCAGCAAAAGAGGCCTCTATGTAGCCCACAACCAGAAGAGGCTCCATGCTGAGTTTCAACGTTTACGTCAAGAATCCCAGAAAGGACAAACCGTGGATAATCTTTGTATTAAGAAAGTCATTTTAAAGGAGATTTATGATGATAAAAGTAAAGGAATAACCTACAAGATATTCTTCCAGCCATTTATAGAAGCTCTTTTCTGTCACTTGAAAAAATAAATTAAGCCATTTACATATCAAATCATAATAACCTGTTTCTCAAAATTTTACTTAATATCTATTAATAAGACTAAAATCTCGCAATAACAAGGACGTTTCTGATAATAATGAGATCTAATACAGACGGGAATTGATACAGTATGATATTATTATAACTGTGTATGTTAAAAATTTGTATCAATACATGTCCAAATATAAACATTTAATGCATATTAAGCCCACTGTTAAATTAATAAATTACCAAAATGCAGTTCTGTCTTAATTCATGAAAATGGAAGTTTCCATCTCATAGTTATTGAGACCAGTGGAATGCACACTCACCCTTAACGGAGGAAAACAGGGTTTGATCCACCATTCAAACGAGAAATCAGAGCTGCCATAATCTGCCAAGAAGACTCCAATATTAAAACATTTAACATTACATTCACTGGCCACTGTAAGCTGCTCTGGATAAAAGCATTTATTACATAGGTAAGGATAAATGCTGATTTCAACGTTGCTTTGACTACTTCACAAATAAGACTATTTCCCAAATATGTAAATAGAAGGACAAACTTTTTTGAATGCTAATTTGACTGCTTCCCAATTCTGTTTTGCTTCAGTAAAAAGATTGAAGTGACATGAATAAACTTCGCTAAATACAAACTTTTCTTTTGGAGGAATAAATGACAAATCACAATATGTTACAACATGTCGTATCACAGTAATTAGCATTTCACAAATCTTTAAGTACTGCAATAGCATCATGGCTCTAGTGTCCTGATAATCTTGTATTGTGGGG